TATTATGCATAAACATGCAGATGGCTTATCTTAATGCATAAATTATCGCCTCTAGCTGCTACTTAATTGATTATAGTAATTTATTTATCAAACAGGAAGAAAAAACGCGACTGATAATTTAACTTATCTGACATTTAACGGAAGCTAAATGAGACAATGTTTCCACTGCTTAGCATCAACATAAAAAAAAAAGTAATTTAAGTTTTAATTTTAGTGCAGTATTCGATGTAAATTTTTACATGACACAAAAACGCAAAGCCTACAAATAATTGAATGAAAATATCAATGCCGGAGGAGGAACAGAAGAGAATAAAAATCGCTGTGAGAATCACATTAATATTATTTGTAAAGTGCATGTGAATTAAGAAGAAAAAAAAAATCTTTGCATTTAGTGTAGCAGATTGCGATTTAATTTTTCCGCGATTTGAATAAAAGGTCATGTGAGCTGAAAATTAGAATGGATTCACATAAATAAATCTTGTTTCGTTGTTCAAATTATAACTCCATCAATTTGTATATCTACTGTAAAATTTCATTAACGTTTTTATTAACTTCAATTAGGTAATTGACCATTAAGAGACGTTTTACGATCTCAATTGACATTTGAGTCTGTCTTGACAAGCCAGAGAACGAAAAAAATATATCTTGAGCATAGACCGCACCAATTAAAGCTCTGGTATTGCGAAAAAAAAGTCCATACTTAAACTATCTAACATCTAAATCTGTTAATGATTTTGAAACATTTAATTGTTTCGCAGTGCGTTGCATGAGAACCTTTTTTCACTGCCTGCTGCTGACTATTTCGCGTGCTAGTCAAGATTTTTTCAAACACAGATTTATTAATGTTTATTTGGATTCTCTTTTGTTCGCAGAAGCGACAAATTTTTTCAAGGTTTGCGTGTCAATCATTTACATCGGAATTGCACAATGAACATTGTCAAATACTCTTGTTTTTGCACTTCTCAAGCACATCACCTGAATTCATTGTCATTGTTTTAATTTATAATAAAAAGAGTCACAAAGTTCTTTACGTATCGCTGATTATTTACGTGAAAAACATGTATGACAGCACCAAAAACGTCTCAATTTTGTATTACTGATGTAATAAATTACAGACATGTTGCATATGTACAGTTGATGTCCATCAAATAATATTGTATTAAACCATTGAATTGTGTTTTGTTACTCATAAAATTTCGCGAATCAGCAATCATGGATTCAAGACTTGAGTCCCCACTGAAAGAGGGCCTAGGTCCCCAATATTTTTTTTTGTAGTCAGCATAAGTAGACGATCCCATACATATCATAAAAGAAATATTTTTCATGAATATTTTTCACATTAGCTGTAAAAATTAAGATTCATCATGCCAACAGAAAATGGTAATGTTAGGTCAGTGGGAAAAGCAAGTAACGCATAAAAATAATGGTTATAATGAAGAAGCAATGAAGACTCCCTTCATGAATATCATCAGATGAAACATTTTTAAATGTAAATTAAAATATTTTACGTGAAACATTAAAAATTGAAATCTCAATGAGATGCGAATGAAAGGAAAAGTGATGACTTAATATTAGTCAGGCTGAATTCGATGGGAAAATAAATATTCATGTTGTCTTCTCATTACTATTTCTAAATCGTACCAATAGAAATGATATGTAGCATAATATGACACATAAGTAAGTGAAAGTCAACTCTTTTCGATAGTTCACCGGTGGTCAAAGATGCAATAGCCGATAAAGTAAACTTTTAAGATTTCAATATTAACGAAAAACAAAAGTGAATTTTTTGATTCTTTCAAGCTGATATGGAACGATACAAAAATCTGCCTCCATTTATCACCTAATAAAGCTTTAAGATTTCTCACTTCTTTCATTTATACAGTTTTTAATGCACATCGAAAAGAGAAAAATCGGGTTTTGCTAGTTTCAAATTCTGTTAATCAAAAAGTTTATGAACATTTAGAAGGGTATTGATTTTGAACTTTTAGTTTAGGGACTCCGATTAAGTGCTGCCACTAAGGAATGTTAATTGAGATTGTCAGTTATGGATCGAGCAATTTTAAGTGGTTTTTATGGTGACTCAGAGTTTAAATCACCGACAATTAGTCTGACACTTCATCCGGCTCCATTCAGCACTGCTTGAATTGAGAAATCGAGGGTTTAGTTTAATTTTTTGTTTACAAACTCAATCATTAATACTTTTTGATAAATTCTGTTTGTAAACAAGATACATAATAGTCGCTATATTGATATTATGTTAATTACCAGTCTCGAGTAAGATATTTAATAGATCCAGTGCATATTAAATAAACAAAACTCAAGTAATATTGGAATTGAAGTCTAAATTCCCAGAAATGACCTATAGCTCCGATCTAAAACAACGTCTGTTGATGCTAACCCAACCTCAATTTGCAATTTGCCAAAAAAAAAAAAATCTTAATGAAGACGCCAGTACCAATTTTTCCAGTTATTCCGCAATCTAAAGATTCAAAATAATCATTGATCTGATTTATTAGTACTGCCTACCTCATCAACAGCTCATCCAACATAATTACAAAATGTTCAAGAAAATGTTATAGGAACCTCTACTTTTTTCTTCAAAAACTTTTTTTTATAAATGAAATGAAATGATTGTTATTGATGTTGTTGCTAATGGATGCTGTGCCTCACCTACATTTATATTTTTTGTTTTATTCCGCAATGATTTCTATTTATTTCTCAAAGATGTAGATTGTTAAAAATGAATGAATGTAGCAGTTATTGACTATATTTTATTTCTAATAAAATCGGGAGCTTCAAACTCCTTTTAATCGAGGAAATCCTTGTGTGAAGATGTGAGAATCTAATTGAAATTTGAATTATTCTATAGACTAATCATCAAATTAATGTGTCTGTCATAAGAGCATCATTTATCTTATTTTCTCGCATATGTATGCCAGCCAAGCCTTATTACACAAAAATTTATAAAATTGAGTATTATTATTTCAATTTTTTATACACTACAAACAAACTACTTAATCATCATAATAATACTTGCTGTATGTGGATAAACCTATATTTACTTAATCCATTTTTCAATCGCAGTAGAAAGACTTTTCGGTTAATAAATTAAAGAACTGCATTCGTAAGTAACACAAAACTCAATAAAATCGTAAGAAATAAATCTTCACCTTGACCAATTAAATGTTCTGTGCATTAATTTATACAAAAGACTGCTTTTTTCTCATCGAATTTTTCTGAGTAGGTTAGCCGCTTCATAAAACTTGCTACTTTATGCAGAACATTAATATTATTCAAAATCACAAGTAGTGGCATTTAGTTTTTTTTTTTTGGAAAGTACATGAAGTGAACCTTGATAAGACACAAAAAATTAATTAAAATGTAAAAAATTAAATTAATTTGTAATAAATTAACGCTGACATGAGTGAAAAATGTTAAGGAAATTTCAAAATTCTTAACAGTCTGTACCTACATATATGATGAGCTGCAGATAATTAAATTACAAATTAGCTGAGTTTACTATTAAATTATACAGTCCTGATCATTATCTCTAATTTACGTAATAAAAGAAATAAAAATTATTTGAAGGCATTAAATTATCTTGTCGCACATCACATAAGTTTGAAATGGAAACTGACTTATTATTTTGTAAATATGAAATAATTCACAGACAGAGAGGGTACAAGGTGTTGACGCGCATTTTTCGCATATTTTGTACATAATTTATTCTATGAGAGATTGCACGAGACTTTTGTGGTTTTGCAGGCTCGGCAAACTTGTTGTGATGAATTGAAATGGAATCTAATTGGAATCAATGATTTGATGGAGTGAATGTAGGGTATTGATTGGTAATTAGCTTGCCATTTATGGTCAAAAAATTTTATGAATTAATTAAGTGTGACTTAGTGTCAATATTTGGTGTTGTTCTAGCTCAATTTGTCAATATGATGCTGTGCTTAGTGCTTGTTGATAAAAACTTAATTATTACGCCCCTTCCTACCGCTAAGTCTCACATTATCCTGATAATTACCAATTAATCACCTCCCAATTCCATCACGTTTATGCTAATAGTCACAACAGCCTCAAATTAGCAATTACTTTGCAAAGTAAATATCAAAAATTATCATACATCTAATATTTCGGTGAAATATCATCATCTCCACCTATTCAGTCAGCCAACAAGTCATTATTAACAGAGCTATTTATTATTAACAAAAAAAAAAAAGCACGCTAAACAGATTTTATAATTGAGATGATTAATTTTCCTAACAGCGCTTCCAGTTCGACCGTGAATAATTTCAAAATTTATTTTTTATGACAAATTTCCTCACTGTATGCAATTCTCATTTATATCCAACAACAGAAATCCATTATGACTTCAATTATAGATGAAATATGTTTGCAGAGAATGCACTTTAAAGTGTCGTAATGTGATTTAGTCAAGAGTAGTCGTGAGTGGAGAAAGAATATCATGATAAACAGAATTACATAACAATCTGACTGCGAATAAGAATCGAACGATCACTCAATTTTATGCATGCACAATGCAATTTAGAGTCACTTGACCAGAGAAAGTAAATATGTATGATAAAAAAATGCGTTCATTTTTTTCTCCTTGTAAATTATTGTTGTGACGCAGTTGTGACTCAGACGAGCTGAATTTAGTAATTCAAGTTTTTTTATTATGTTGAACTTACTTAACAACATGATATTTATCGGAAATAAGTGATATATAATGCCACGATCCATATAGTAAGCAGACTGTATAAGCAATTCTTTTCTTTCTCTATTCAATTTAACAATTTATTGATATTGAAACGCATAACGGATATCCAAAATTAAATTAAATTGTTCAAAAATCTTTTTTTTTCCTGCGTACAATAGAAATAAAAAAAGTCTTTCAATTTCAATTGCTGCACGTTTTTATATTTTACTTTATTTTCTGTTTCTAATAAAATTTATTTGGATCTTTGCAGTTCAACTCAGCATCAGCAATTGCTATGAAGCATAAGAAAATTTCATCGATAATTATTAAAAGTTGTGTTAATAAAATGACTGTGATATTAATTTTACTGGCTCTTTCATCGTCAATAACAAATGTTAAGGCGTTAGACAATGGACTAGCTGTTACTCCTCCCATGGGTTGGCTCAGCTGGGAAAGATTTCGCTGTAACACAGATTGTGAAAATGATCCTGACAATTGTATAAGGTATGATTTTAAACTTTTTTATTTTTATTATTTCCCATTCGATCGATTTCGTCAGACTTTGGTCAGATTTAAAGTTATTTTAAAAAGCTATTACTAAGGTCTGGTTTATTCATTGAAATATGCCTTGAAATAAAGTATGCAGTAATCTTGAGGATTCAAACGACTCCTCGTGCCACATTGAAGACCACTGTTTGCATTCAACCAGTTTACTTAAATGTATATTACAATAATCATGTCTATCTTATGTCTAAATGTTTATAAGATGTAAAACTATTAACTGATAGAGCTGCTACCTTCGTCAAGTTAGGACTGTCAATATGAAGGTTAAGGGATAGTTAAGCTGATCTATGGCCACTCTTGACGATCCCAGTAAACTTAATCTTTCTATCGCTCAGAGTGATACTAACCGTCATCACCAGCAATGATTGCTTGCAGCAATATTTCGCAACCCCGGAAATGTTAAACCAAATACATTAATGATCTATCTTAAATTAGAATTTAACATTGGGGCCGTTCACTTATTACGTTACGCAAAAAAACGACTTTTTTTCACCCCCTCCCCCCTTGTTACAATATGTCAACTCAACCCCCCCCTGAACGTTCATAATTTATTTTATCATTAAACAAAATTTTTTCGTGAACTTTTTTTTAAAAGACGGACGACAGTTAGAACGTTACATACTTCTTGACCCCCCCCCCCCTCCTCTTTGTTACATTTTGTTACAATTTTCCAAACCCCCCCTCCCCCCTAAAATGCGAACATAATAAGTGAACGGCCCAGGAACTTTTGCTGAAAATCAACCGAAAATTCAGTCTATCCATAAAATCTCGCAAGATCATTCAAAGGGCATTATGACTTTTCTTATTTGTGTGTAAAATTGCGAATTAAAGACATTTGAAATTACATGTTATGCAAATATAATGACTGAATTATATGCAATGAATATTATTATTTATAAACTTCTTCACGACTTGAGAATTACAGGAAAAACTTCCTACCGTGTTTTTATTTATATATTTATAGAAAAAGTATCTTATGTTGTTGGCACATTAAATGTTAAGGTCATGTTTCATGTTATATTTTTAATGCAATTTTTACACAACGTGCCTCCTCATGAGGAATCGAAAATGAGTAATTATTTAACAAATTTTATAATAGGCATTAATGCAAACACTTTTTTATGGACTCTCTTTTATGCTTACTAAAATTTCATTCATAAAAAAGAAGAAACATTTAAGATCAGTGTAAATGCTTTATCTTACTCTACTGATGTCAATCAAACTTTCAATTTCAATTGCATGGTCTTAAACTGTGTCTGCAATATGAATTATAATGTCTTAAAATGTTTAATGCTAGTTTATGAACAGAAACTAATAGTAAATCCAATTATAGGCGAATAAGAAGTAGCAATCGAAAGAGATATAAAAGTTTATGTGGAAATGCAATGCATTGGCGCATTTTTAAAGTTCGCTATCGAGCTTAAAGTGTTAGGAATGTGACATTAAAATTTTTTTGACACATCCAGTTTAGAATGAAGTTTAGGAAATTAAGAATTTGATACAAGACGACTATTTTCCCATAAATATCCAAAAACATTAAGCTACCGATTATAATATTTCAAATTTTGATTGATCTTCCTGTAAAGTGATCCCTGACAAATGATCAAAGTGTCAAACTATAGCCAATATTCACTTCATTCCTCAAAAGACGCATAATAAAAACAAAGAAGAAGATTGACTAAGCCACTTGACTGATTGATGATCAGTGTCAATAATTGGCTATTGAAAATCGCTTCTAATTGATTGAGCCAAGAAGAAGGCAATTAATTACGTACATTCGTTCCTCAATTTCAATTTTATTCACTTCTTCTTTTTGTGTCGTTTAATTGCCTTTCGATTCGCTCATCAGGAATCGACTTAACTGTTTCGTACACACGAAAAAATTTAGCATATTTCAATAATAGAGACAAAAAGGTTACATGGACCAATCCTACTGTCATGTCCATGGCATCGTAAATTAATTTGACCCACCTTGAGAAAATAAAATAAAAACATAATGAGTCAATGAATCACTAGAAGGTATAAGGTAGTGTATGAATCTGTTCTGTAGATCCGCGAATGATATCAAAAGGAGAAAATCTCATACACGCTAGACATTAAATTATAATGTGCTGCCTTACTTTAAGGTATGATTTTGAAGGTGATCCAAAAGCATTTTTTTTTTCGTGATTTATGATGATGGATCAACCCGAAAAGAATAGAAGTAGCAACTACGTGATTTTAAAGATTTAATGACATTTTCATTTTGTCCTAACTTTAGTTTAATGAACAATGTGAGGGTCAATGATGAATTGAGAAAAACAAGCACAAAATAACTTTGAATTGTTAAAATGCAATTAATAACAATGTTTGTGCTGTTTTTCACTTCATTTTTTATGACTCCATTGTTTAAATAGAGCGGCATAAGATTAATGAAACTATTTGCTGCTATTCAGCTCACAAAAAATGAGGATCTAAGCTTCTATTTATTTCTTTTTATCTCATACTTAATTTAATGACTCTAAATCTGACGAAAACATTGTAGTTAAAAACGATTGAATTGGATATACTTTAATGGTTCATGTCAAATACATCAAGTTGCCATTTCAATGTGATGTTTTAATAACCAATTTAACAATTCTTCATTTCCAGTGAAAATTTGTTCCGCACAATGTCTGACTTGGTGGTGTCTGAAGGATATGCAGCAGCTGGATATGAATATATCAACGTTGATGACTGCTGGTTAGAAAAAAATCGTGGAGCTCGTGGTGAACTTGTCGCTGATCGAAAAAGATTCCCAAGTGGCATGAGGGCACTATCTGATTATGTTAGTCATTCATTGCGAAAATTTAATGATTTATTAGCTTTAAAATGTATAAATATTTTTCCTTGTAGGTTCATGGAAAAGGCCTCAAGTTTGGTATTTATGAAGATTATGGAAACTATACGTGTGCTGGATATCCTGGTATTCTCGGATATTCTAAACAAGACGCTGACCAATTTGCATCATGGGATGTCGATTATGTGAAACTCGATGGATGCTATTCATTGCCAACTGATATGGATGTTGTGAGTTTATTGCAATTTTTTTAATTCCCATAAAATTTGATAGCCTCGTTTATGGTCATTTAATTTTATGGACGATCTACTTTCATTCCAAACTTATTCTTATTTTATTTTCATTCAAGGGTTATCCGGAATTCGGTCGTCATTTGAATAAAACAGGTCGAGCAATGATTTACAGTTGCAGCTGGCCAGTATACCAAATTTATGCAGGAATTAGCGTAAATAACATGAATCATTGCCTAATTTCAAATTTCCTAACATAAAAAATTGTTTTTTTCAGCCGAATTTCTCATCAATTATTGAGCATTGCAATTTGTGGAGAAACTTTGATGATATTCAAGATTCATGGGCATCGCTCGAAAGTATCATTGACTACTATGGAAACAACCAAGATTATATTATTCCAAATGCCGGACCAGGACATTGTAAGAGCAATTAATACAGGAAATAAATTAGCATATTTTAATTAATTTTTTTTTGTTGCTTCAGGGAACGATCCCGACATGTTAATCATTGGTAACTTTGGATTAAGCTACGAGCAATCAAAAACACAAATGGCTTTATGGGCTATACTTGCTGCACCTCTTCTCATGTCTGTCGATTTACGCACAATACGCCCAGAATATAAAGCAATTTTACAAAATCGCAAAATCATAGCCGTTGATCAGGATCCATTAGGTAAACAAGATACACATGCTATTTTTTTTTGATGATGAAAAAAATGTGATCACATGCACGGCACGAAAAAGAAATGTTGTTGACGTTTTTAAATTATTTTTAGGCATTCAAGGTCGTAGAATTTACAAGCATAAAGGTATCGAAATCTGGTCACGACCCATCACTCCAATTTATCAAACATATTACTCGTATGCTATTGCATTCGTTAACAGACGTACTGATGGAACTCCATCAGATGTAGCAGTCACTCTACGTGAATTGGGTCTCCAATCACCAACTGGATACCGTGTCGAGGTAATGAGAAAATTTCTTTTGGACACTTGAAGTACATACTTAATTTTTAATATTTTTTTAAGGATTTATATGAAGATGTAGACTATGGCATTTTGTCATCAAATACAAAGATTAAGGTCAAAGTAAATCCATCAGGAGTTGTTATTTTACGTGCTGACGTTCAGCCAGAGAGATTCTCAAAACGCCCCCTCAATCCATACTACTATCGATATTCACAGAACTAACTTGACTTTGATCCTCCATGCACACTCGTTCCAAATAATATTTAAAAATACATTCCAATGTAATTTCACAAAATTTTAAAATTATTACTTCTTCCTCCCCGCTATCTCCTTATCTGTGAATTTTTATCTCGTTTAATTAAAAATGTGTGCCAGCTCAATTTTTTTATTGCGATTATTAATATACGAAAAGAATAAACATTAATTTAATGTTTATAGAAAGCAACAAATTTTTTTTTGTAATTTTAGTAAGTAGCTTTTAAGACGTATCCTTTTTCTTGTAATATCAATTTTTCATATTTTGATGAATAAAATAATAATTTTGTAATTTATTTCCGAATTTAACATGAGAAATCTTATTATTATCGGATGCTGGAGGTCATTGCATTGCACTTGATACTGAGATTTCAGACCATTTCTCATATTGACTAGCCAAAAAAGGATGATCAAGGATTAGAATTCTTCTATTCATAAGTATCTTGCTACTAACGCTTACGAGCCTTTTAAATCTTCAGGTAGACATCAAACAGATTTAAATTTATTTTTACAGTTGGCGAGTCTTTGATGCTACCTCATCATCATCAACGTGTTTCTTTGAAAAGTTTCTTGACTTTATACCTAGTTTTATTTGTTTGTTTTATTTATTAGCAAAATGTTTCCCTTGAGCTACGTTCGTCTTTCAGAAAACTATTTTTAATACAATTATTCACTGATTATTAGGTAATGCAGTTTGCGTTTAGACTTTGAGACTAGTCAACAAACAAATCTTGTTAGGTTGCCAATTAAAACAACCACTTGTGTAAATCAATCATCAGAAAGTTTGTTTATTCTATCAATCAAGTCGAAAACGTGTTTAAAAATGGACTTAAAAATATATATTTTTTTATCACATCTGATGTTAACAAACAAAAGTCAACAAAACAAGTCATGGAGGTGTTGAAAAAAATAAAGCACTTAGCAAAGAAATTAAACGATAACAAAATTTGAAGTTTCTTTTTGAACGTGTATTCTTTAAGATAAAAGAATCGACTTTTAATTTGCTAGATAAGAACTCTCGAAAGAATAACAGAACCGTATAAAAATAGCTGACTTATCAGTTACTAAATTGCAGTTTTTACAATGAAATATTTGTTTTTAATCTACTCAAATTTGATCATTGTAATTAAAGCTCTTTCAAATGTAATACGAATTTCAAATTTGACCTGCCTGAAAATGAATCATGAATTAGTTTTAAAAATTTTACTGGATACTTTATTTATGGACTGTGAATGATCATGCGATGAACAAAAAAAAAAAAAATGAATCAAAACATTCACTCGAAATTTGTATCACAATTTTCTGAACTAAATACGATGAGTATTTTTTGGAGGTATGAAGATATTATTAGCAAACATGAATTACAGCTGTTTTGAAACAGGTTTTTCGGCTTAAAACAGCTGTTTTGTAGGTTTCGTTTTGTCTTGTTGGATGTTTTAAAAAAAATATGAATTTTTTTTTTAAGAATCTTTTCTGACTCTTATAATTTATTAAGGGAACCGATGACTTCTCCTAAAGCCTACATTATTATTTCACTTGTTTTTCAATGTTTTGTTATAAAAGTTGAAAATTTAAACAATATTGTTTTTGTTTATATTTTCCACATCAAGTTTTAAAACGCAAATTTTGATCTAATTTGAGCTTTAATTACTTCATAAACTAGCAATAAAGGTTAAATGAATGTGAGCAACGAAGAACTTAATTAGTTTTTACGTCAATTAAGCTTTAAAACAGATATTTTCTCTAATTAGAAAATTCAAGATAACCTATAATTCTTAATAAACTAGATCTAGTTAATAAATCAGTCTCATCAATCATCCTAATCCACTTGCGAATCTATCATCGAGTCGAAATGTATTAATTAGCACATTAGAGAACAATGTTCTTTACAATACACAAAGAGTCATTGAGACAAATTTTCTTTAAAATGTGTATGGCTACGTGATTTGTTTTCCCTCTCAACAAAAACAGAAATAGAGTGAGGAAAACTGTATACCAGAGGAGAGTCCAAAGTTCTATTTTCTTTGAGTATATAATAATATTATTTTATACAAATGCATGCTTACATCTCCGTAGATTATTCAAGGCAAATTCGAAACAACTTTTTACAACTTTCAATTAAGTTTGTACATAAAAAAGTGCACAGTGGATGTTATTTTGTTATTTTTTTTACTTACGTGAACACATTATCAAATTAATTGAGTAAAATCAAATAAATAAATCCTTTACACTAAGTATTATTGATTATTCTGTTTATAAGTACTTCGTCTACTTTTATATTATTTTTTTATTGTTTTCGTAAACCGCTATCCGATCGATTGCACACGCGAAATATGACCATGAACCTCTGTTTACTTATTATTTTCGCGAAATTGTATCCCCTTCAATTTAGATTATTTAGATTATAGAACTGAACAAAAAAAAAGGTTTAATGTCACTTGAAGTATATTTTAATGGCTGACAAAAAAAAATAAAAAAGTCTTTCTTGTTTATCAATTTGGATACTTGCCTCCGTCTATTATGTTACTGAACTGAAGGAAGTGTGAAAAAGAAGGCAAAAACACATTTCAGATTTGATCAATGTATGAGAGAATGAGGGGCTTGTGTCATTACGTCATTACTTAAACCAAAAAAAAACTCATTTTATTACTTTATTTTCATTGCTTCAAAGTCAGCCAGTTCTCTTTTACTTCTGTATTATCACAAGATTAAACATTCGTGTGTGCGAATTTTTCAAAATCGTTCATAATTTAAATATAGAGGCACGCTCAACGTGTCCTTTCAGTGTGTGCGTTATTTTTTTGCATTCAAATAATGAAGAGAACATCAAGCCTTACTGCGTGGTATTCAATGTATTTGTTTCATGTTTATATTTGATAAACTCTTTATCGGCACTCGAATTACAAATAAACTACGTAAAGGCAGTCAAATATAAAATAACTTTTCACTTGACAATAACTTTTTCGTTTGACATTGTCTGTCAGTTCATATATGATCTCCTGCAGCTTACTATTACTTCCTGAATATACGGAAAAGACTCCTTAGAACAAATGCTTATAATAATTCATTTAGATTTAAATATAATACATAAACATACACACAGACTCTGTGGTTTCCTATGTAAAGTTCTATAAATAAAAGTAAATAATATTGAAAATCAGCAGAAATTTATAGCTGAGTTTTTCATTATTCGCATGATATTGAAAATTTTCTTTGTATAAAAGTTCATTTTTCATACATTAATTAAGTTTGTAATTTTAGGAAAATTTAATGATGACTATTTATAAATTTTAAATTTCATTTAAATTAAAACGTCACCTTATCTATATCTGATAGTATATATAGTATATCAAAGTCTATTAATAAGTCATGCAATAATAGTTTTCATTTACAAATAGTAAACAGAGTGACGCTCAATTTTAGAACTAAAACGATGACTTCAAATTCGATCAATTCAATTTTAGAATTTTCAAAAAAAAAAATAGAAATTTCAAATTTTAAACTTCAGAAGCTCTAATTTTTCATCAACATGACCAACTTCAGTCAACAGCTTATTAATTCAGTATAGAACAGCACAATTCATTGCGAAACTGCAATATAAGTGCTTGAGTCCCATAAAAAGTAAAATTATTTACAATATGTTCAGTGTCACAGGTTTTAAAAAAATTGTAAATAGCTCCTTAATGTTTACATACGTGAGAGTAATGTTATTAATCAAGCGTTAAATAAAGAAATTTTTTATCATTTAATTAAATAATTTGATAATGAAGGTACACATTAGCTCGATAAAAGCCTTTTCCTAATAAGAACAATTTAATTAAGATTTTATAGGAAATATTTGATTATTAAGAGAGCTTAATGGACTCTCTCATTGTGAGTCTTGACTCTCGTGAATATACGTCATGGTTGAATTGCTCAATATTAAACAAAGAATCAATTAAAAAATCTTTCACTTGGTGATTAGGAAGAAATAATTATCTCATTTTTGAGTCACGTTGGTCTATCAACTCGCCAGCTAATTGCTGCTGATAACGACGGAATTAAAAACGAAAATAACTTTGTTTTCAGAGGCGGGATTCAAAAATCGTTCGATACTATCTGAATTATAAATTCACAAGCTACTTATGGCATTGAAAAAGATTTAAAGAGCCAAAAGGCAGTTTCATAGTTTATTTAAAGAAAGGAAGATGAAGATTTCGATATTAAGCAGCAATCATGTCAATTGTTTTGAAGTTTTAAAAAATGCGAGAGAAAAGGTTCAAAGTCTAAGCATGCTCATCGCCACGTGCTTACTATACGGAAATAAATCTCTAAATAGATACGTGTTAGACCTAAAATACTTTGTCGACAGCTATCTTTAAAGAATTTTAAAAATATGTTCATCGTAAATGATGACAAGTTTTCTATTCACAAAAATTCTACCTTTTTTTCAGAATGACATATTTAAGTGACATGATGCAATGCAAAATATTAATGCCATAATGATATTCGCGGTTTTTCCTAATTGATCAAATTTCACCAGATATTTTATTAAGCAACTCAGTTTAGGGTTCTAGGTACTATTATCCAATAAAATTATGACAAAGAAAAATTCCCAGAATTTGGGTCATAACAAAAAGTTCACATTACACAAATTCACATTATTATTATTCGCGGGAATTTGAAATTGGAGTTGCAATGAAATGCAATCGACATGCGCTTTGGAAGTTTGTTCGTAAACTCTGACCTGATTATTGCATGCACTTTTCAGCTGATTTGTTTCGTATTACAAAATGCGAAAAACAACAAAATTTATACGTGTTATGATCCTGAGTTGATTCTCTAGATCCTGTATCTTGTTTACTTTTAAGTTTCAAGATTTATTTGTTTACGGAAAATCTATAGCTGATTAATTATATCACGTATTTCACTGGATTATTATTACTATTATTGCATCCCTTAAACCCCATCTCCTACAGAATTTTTATGGCACCCAGAACATTTTTATGTGTTTACTCTAGAACGTGTATTGGGTATAAAAAAAACTTTACGCGAAATAATTTAATTATTTGTTATTAAAATTTTTTAATGTTTATAAAGATTGGCACATGTTCAAAACCAAGGAGCAATGTAATTCTTAATGACATGATTGTGTTACTCACTGTGATCACCTGAATTTCCATTGTGAGATGAGCAGCTTTCATAGTCATTGCCTGGCATTTTTGATGCTATCGGTGCCATTTTACTTGATTATCAGTTTTATGTAAAGAAGATCTATTTATGATTTGCTAGATTTGATTATGTGAATTTGAACTTTGCACAGCTTATATTTATTTTCATTCATTCACAACTTTTTTTTCTATCGTAAATTATTATTAGGTCTGTGACACAAACTAGTAGGATTAGAATTCACTTCTTACTATGCATTCAACTTGCTTTTTATTAATTTCCACTTTTACTATTTTTCAATTTTTATAGATTGTAAAATAATTTTCAAGGGTACCTTTGATTAATTCTTATTTATTACTGGTTTTTAAAACTTAATTGAAAGCTTTTGAATAATAAATATATTATTAATATATTCAAAACATACACTTTAATCAATAAATGTACGATTTGATATTATGAGAGAAGATGTAACAGCAACGAACGAAAGCTTCCAATTGAATAAAAAAAAAAAAATAATATTTTCCAAGCAAGTTGATTTTTGATAATAACGAATGTGAGGAAAATTAAAAGGTAGATCTAGTAGAACTAATATATATAAATTTGTTATTAAAGGTAGAGCTTAATATATACTCCACATCATTTGATAATCTTTTCAAAAATTAAAGGTTTTTAATATTTTTTTGACATAAAATTAACAATGCCAATCACCAAAGATAAATGTTTTAAATCACAAAAGGGCAATAAGAAGCAGCATGCAAATTTTGAAGAGATTCAAAAGAAGAATATGGAATTATTAAAGGATAGAGTAATGCAAATCGATAGCTCTGATGATGAAGATTCATCGCGAGTTGGAAAGGAAAAAATTGCAAGCCTCTTCAAAAATTATCAAGGAAATGATAATGACGTGGCAAGAATACAGCAATATTTTGATGGTGAGAATCTGGACTGTCTGATTTGCATTAGAAGTGTAAAAGCTAAAGATCGAATTTGGACTTGCGGTACATGCTATCTTTCGTTCCACTTACTCTGCATTCAAAAATGGGCTAATGACTCGATGAACTTGAAAAAACTTTGGCATGACAATCAGCCTAGTGGTTACTATGACAATCAAGGAAATTATATTCGTAAAAAGGAATTGAATGTGTTTTGGGATTGTCCAGCATGTCGTCATGAGTACCTCGAAAATGAGATACCAAGGGAGTATTCATGTTATTGTAAAAAGGAAATTGATCCAGAATATCAAGAATGGCTTGTTCCTCACAGTTGTGGTATGATGTGCCAGAAACCACTAGAAACTTTATGTGGACATAAATGCACAATTCTTTGTCATCCTGGAAAATGTCCTAGCTGCCCTCAAACAATTCAAACGAGCTGTAAATGCGGTAAATCCCCAATTAAGACCATTCGATGTTCCCAAAAAACTTGGAATTGTTCTCAAAAATGCACTAAGATCCTCGTATGTGGTGTTCATAAATGCTCAGGAGTCTGTCATGGTCCCAACGAATGTCCACCTTGTAAAGAAAAAAGTGTCAAAAACTGTCATTGCGGAAACAAATCAAAAGAGATAAAATGCGAACAATTATCATGGAATTGTGAAAAAGTGTGTGGCAAGCCTTTAAGTTGCGGAATTCACAGCTGTGACAAGAAATGTCATAGTAATGATTGTGGTGAATGCAAATTTGGACTTGAAAGGAGCTGTTTTTGTGGTAAACAAAAAGTCACAGTATCAAAATGTGATGAATCTTCACTGGATTCTTGTGGTGATACCTGCTTGAAACAACTATCATGTGGACACATCTGTTTATCGAGATGTCATAAAGGAGACTGTGATACGTGTAAGGAACAAGTTGAGAAAAAATGCAGGTGTGGTACAATGTCCAAATTATTTCCATGTTCAAAGGAACTGTTATGTGAGACTAAGTGCAATAGTCAAAAGTCTTGTAAGAAGCATTCCTGTAAATCTAAATGCTGTGTTGAATGTGCTCCCTGTTCAATAGTTTGCGGAAAGGTACTAGCTTGTGGACGACATAAATGCGAAGGTACGTTTACATTTTAGTAAACTAGTGTATCGGGTAGAAACCCAATGCGGATATATTCACACCGTACCATCAAAAGTCTTATGGATAGACCAAGATTTGCTCAGCATAAGTTTGAAGGGAGGGAGTGAAGTACGGCCGAGACCCATATCGACACAGTTCAAAAGTTATACCTAATTTATGTCATAATAATGTCAGCTACAAAAACACTAAGTTTGAATTTTGTCACCCTCGGGAACACTATGAACCAGTATAGCTGATTTTGGTCCAAATCTCGGCCATACTTCACACTTATTGGAACCACATTTTCTCATAAATGTTAAAATATTATTAAAAAGTAATTAATCCTGAATTATGTCGCTATTTTGTCAAGTATTTTAAGATAAAGAATTTGTTTTTTGGTTTCCACAGTGAAGAGTATTAACAAAATTCAGATGGGGTAGTCGAAGTTTTAGATTTCGATTTTTTTTAAGCTATGCATTACAAAAAGTAATATTGGTATGTGATTTACGTCAGAATTATGTCAATTCAAATAAAACATCCAAAAAATTTTTTTGAGCAAAGAACCAAGTAGGAAATACATTTTCAATTTTGGACTAGGGACGACCCTAGTCAAAATCAATTTTGTCACTTTTTTCTTCGAGGGTTTATCCAAATGGATTGAAACTTTGCATAAATATTCTAGTGCTTAAAGCAAATAAAAATAAAACATCCTAAATTTTTTTTGAGCAAAGAAGCAAGTAGAAAATACATTTTCAATTTTGGACTAGGGGCGACCCTAGTCAAAATCAATTTTGTCACTTTTTTCTTCGAGGGTTTATCCAAATTGATTGAAACTTTGCATAAATATTCTAGTGCTTAAAACAAATAAAAATAAAACATCCTAAATTTTTTTGAGCAAAGAACCAAGTAGGAAATACATTTTCAATTTTGGACTAGGGGCGACCCTAGTCAAAATCAATTTTATCACTTTTTTTTTTCGAGGGTTTATCTAAATGGATTGAAACTTTGCATAAATATTCTAGTGCTTAAAATAAATAAAAATAAAACATCCTAAATTTTTTTGAGCAAAGAACCAAGAAGGAAATACATTTTCAATTTTGGACTAGGGGCGACCCTAGTCAAAATCAATTTTATCACTTTTTTTTTCGAGGGTTTATCCACATGAATTGAAACTTTGCATAAATATTCTAGTGCTTAAAACAAATACAAATAAAACATCCTTAAAATTTTTTTGAGCAAAGAACCAAGTAGAAATACATTTTTAATTATGAACTTGGGACAGGTCTAGTCAAAATCTCGTTTTTCACTTTTTTCCCTTCGAGGATAAATCCAAATACATTAAAACTTTGTATGAGCATTCTAATCATCAGGTCACACATTTCTGAATTAATAAAAATCATTTCTTTGGAAAAATTTTAAGTCACGTTGTTTTTATATGTAGAACCAAATTTATAAAATTTGGGTCTGACGACATATAGAATACATTTCTTGCTTTAGATATTTAAAACTGTTTTGTATAAAGATTAGTATACTCACACAAAGTTTCACTGTAATTGGATAAACCTTCGACGAAAAAAGTGAAAAACTAGATTTTGACTAGGGTCGCCCCTAGTCCAAAATTGAAAATGTATTTCCTTCTTGGTTCTTTGCTCAAAAAAATTTTAGAATGTTTTATTTGTATTTGTTTTGTAAAGTTTCAATCCATTTGGAAAAACCCTCAAAGAAAAAAGTGACAAAAATGATTTTGACTGGGGTCGCCCCTAGTAGGGTTTGGGGAATCTGTTCAGGAAACCGAAAAACAGCTGTTTTTGGACAAAAATCTGTTAACAGAAAACAGGTCTCAAAAACAGATCTGTTTTGTGTTTTTCATTTTTAGATAAAATTTACAGAAAAAAAATTTCTTAATTTATTGAAGAACTTAATATATTTTTCTAGCATTTCAAATTGAAATGTATTTACTATTTTAATATTTTTTGGATGTTTAATAGGTTTGAAATCATTATCAAATTTATGGTAAATCATTATTAATTTTGCAATCGAAATTTTAAATTTGTAGAACCTTTTGTAGCATTTACTAAAGTTTAAAAATATAATCAACAATTTTACAAGATATTTTTTTATTCAGAAAGATTTTTTGAATATTTCAAATAAAATATTAGAGCTTATGGAACTTTTACAATGCAACAATGCAATGTTACTTAAAGGTATAAATTTTTTTGGATTTTTTTTTTGCATTTTTATATTTCATTATATTTTTTAGAGTTAATTAACATAAAAAAATAAGAAATAATAATGCTTAGCTCTAAAATGTATGCTTAGAGAAACACTTAGGATAACTCAGTTTATTTTGAATTCTAGAAAAACAGGAAAACAGCTGTTTTTAAAAATCAAAAACCGAAAACAGACTGTTTTTCAAAAACAGCTGTTTTCCACAAACCCTAGCCCCTAGTCCAAAATTGAAAATGTATTTCCTTTTTGGTTCTTTGCTCAAAAAAAATTTTTTCATCCAAAGTTGAATTTTATAAAAATCACAGTCAACTTTTGTTTTGAAAAATTCATAAGAAAGGGAAGTTATTTGCTTTTTCTGAAGCAACGGCTGTTCCTACCTTGCCCAAAAACAATACAGCTCTTCTATAGAGCAGCACGGATCAAATTTTAAAAAACTAGAAGTCTCTACGATGTCTCGTTATTGAGATTTCTTGCTGATTAACTTGCTTGCTTGTTTGCTTACAGAAAGCGTAATTTGCGATTTTCTCAGCAATGCCACAACCAATTTGAAATCCGTTTTTGAAAATGATGTAAAATTTCAGGCACAAACTTTTCTTCTAGGACCTTTTATGACCAATTTTGCTTCGTTTTTTCACAAAATGCGAAAAACTGATTTTTCAATCTGAACAAAACCAATAGATTCACACGTGAAAACGGTGTGAATATAAAAAAAAATAGAGTATCCGCATTCATAATCATTATGAACCTATCATTATTATTTATAGCACTTTGTCATTCGGGAAATTGTTATCCATGCAATGAGAGGCAAAAAGTGACGTGCAGATGTGGAGCCACTTCAGTTTCTGTTCGATGTGGAAAGGCAAACAAATACAAGAATCCAAATTGTAAAGAGGCATGCAAAGTTCCATCAAAATGTCATCATGAATCGAAGCCTCATTACTGTCATATTGGAGATTGTCCTAATTGTAAGCAAATATGTGATGAACAACTCAAGTGTGGACATAAATGCTTAGATACTTGTCATGATTATGTGAGAACTGTCATTAAGGATAAAAACTTTGTCCCGGCAGGTCCTTGGGACGTTCCAGAAGAAAAGATTGAGTATAAAAAGTTGCCTCATTCGGCTTGCAAAACAAAAGTTTCAGTAAATTGTTTAGGTGGACATGAAGTAATTTTAATGAATTGTTCTGAGGCAAGAGTCACGTCGTGTGGGCGAAAATGCAATCGGAAGCTTACATGCGGCAATCATGTATGTCAAAAAAATTGTCATGAAGTAGCTGATTTGAATAGCGACTTACAAGATGACAATTGTGAAGAATGTGAACTAAGTTGTATGAAGGAACGACCAAAATATTGTATTCATCCTTGCACTCGATCATGTCATGTTCCTGAAAAGCCTTGTAAGAGATGTATCGTTCAAATAAAGACGAAATGCTTTTGTGGTTTGTCAGATGCTTATTATCGTTGTTGCGACGTAAATAAGCGAGATATTGACGAGGAAACAAGACGAGCTTTGTTAGAAAAATATCTTTGTTGTGGCGCTAAATGTATGAAAAGTGTAAGTCATTAACTTAAGGCTCAATTACCTCAAATAATAATTCATTTTCATTTTATTAGTATGCCTGTGGTCATCAATGCATGAATATTTGTCATCCAGGAATTTGTGAAGGTGCTGAAAACTGTAGGAAGAAAGTAAAATTATTGTGTACATGCAAAACTCGTAAAGCTGACTTGACATGTGATAAAATACGAGCTGAAAATATTACAATACTTGAATGTAATGCTGAATGCGAGGAAAAAAGGAAGCAAATTGAGGAAGAAAACCAAAGAAAAATATTAAAACAAAAGCAGCTAGAAGAAGAGAAAAATAGAAAGGAACTAGAAGAATATGAGAAGAAATTCGGACCTAAGAAATACAAAGAAAGAAAGCAACGACATGTTGAGGAAAAGAAGAGTGATATTAAAATAAAAATTGCAATATCTTCTGCAATTTTCCTCGTCATATCAATTGTTTTATATTTTATGCTGTTTAACAACTAATATTGTGACTGATGTAGTTAAATTAAATAAATCAATGTGTAACGGCTTTTTAAAATTCAAAATACCTGTTTGTTATTGTAGATAAAAAAATTCACACACGAGTTTTTACAATTTTATTAATTAAACTAAGATATACAGTTTAAAGAGGATATCTAATAGGCTATTTAGGTTTTTAAACTCATTTTATATTACTAAAAATGAATAAGCACAAAAGAATGGAGAATAAAAAGCGAAAAACAGCTGCTTTAGTTAATATTATAAAAATTAATGAAAAGGATAAGAAAATAGTAGAGAAACAATTGGAAAATGAAGTTAAAGAAAAGGATTCGGTAAGATTAGTTAACATTTATCATTAATGAACTATAATCAACCAGATTTGGTTGTCATTTTAGAACGAGGAGCCTTTATGCAAGAAAATCAAAACTGATGAGGTAGTTACTAGCATTGACAAATCAATTTCAGACGAACAGTACAAGATACTTAAAAGTGAATTGCAATTGCGTAAAAATGCCTTAAATAATGTTCCTAAATTCCGACTTAAATTCTTTGGTGACAAGGCAAGGTTATTAAACAGCACTAAAACTCGTCAACCACTAATGTTTGAGGATATCCAATATCTTTTGATGTCTGCACTTTTGGGAAGTAGTTCGCCATTCAAACCTGATAGATGGTGTGTGCTAGAAAAACCGAATAAAATTACACATACAGTCATTCTTGTGATTGAAGGATTAACATCGTATAATTTCATAGCCAATGAAAGTTTATTTGTGAAAACAAAAGGGATTTTTGAGGACCAACTTGAAGTCATTCTTCCTAAAAGTCATAAATGTAAGCTCATTGAGGAACTTTCGTATGTGCCACTTACTCAATCACACAAAGAACTACTAATAAAGAAATTTGGAAGTTTAGAAGCGGCGATGAAGCTCAACAAGAATCCAAATGATATGTTTGCCAAAAGTTTATTTCCAATCGATAGCGATGAAGACACAGATATAATACAAATTAGAGACGGTGAAACTTTTCCAAGGACAAGACTTTTACTTTCTCCATTACAAATGATGATTGAAGGATATCCAATGCCAATAAAAGGAGAATATGAAGAAAGATATAAAGATTATCGCTACACAAAGAATCATTACAAGTCAGTGTCTGTCGATTCTCCAATGTTTGGTCTTGACTGTGAAATGTGTCGAACTGTTAAAGCTGAAAATGAACTTGCGCGTGTGTCAATTGTTGATGAGAATTATAAGAGCATTTACGAGACGCTTGTTAAGCCTGATAACAAAATCACAAATTATTTGACTCAATGGTCAGGTATCACAAAAGAAATGATGGATGATGTCACTAAAACATTAAAAGAGGTTCAAGACGAAGTTTCATCATTACTTCCATCTGATGCCATTCTCGTTGGTCAATCATTGAATTGTGATTTGAATGCGATGAAGCTGATGCATCCATATGTTATTGACACAAGTGTAATCTTTAATTTGTCTGGTGATAGATGTCGAAAATCGAAACTTCAATTGTTAGCCAAGCAGTTTCTACAAGAAGACATTCAGATTGATAAAGCAGGTCATTCGAGTGTTGAAGATTCAACAGCATGTTTGAAATTAACAAAGCTTAAACTGTCTAAAGACATCTATTTTGGTGATCTTGCATTGCAGACAAAAAAGAGCCTATATGAGAGCAAAAATATTGTAGAATCAGGAATTGCCAAGCATGAAGATTCTACAATTAATGTAAAAACACCGCTTTTCAGTCATGCAATTAAGCGACAAAAGAAATCTGCGATAATTTCGACAGAAAAATGTAATGTTGATTTGAAAAAGTTCTATTCAAAGAATCAATTTAATGCTTTACCGGACGAGTCAATAGATCATGATCATGGAATTAGACATCACAAAGAATCGACGGTTAAAAAGGTTATTAAAAAGGCACGAGAAATTGCAATAGATAATGACTTCAATATCTGTCATTTTAATGTTTTTGAGGATTTAATGGATGAAGACGATAGTGACAACAGTTATCACTGTATTGAGGATGCTAATGATGACGATAAAGTGGTTCAGCTAATCCCGAAAATCGATAAATGGATTGAAAAAGTGTACTCAAAAGTTGCAAGCAGCGGACTATTTGTAGTGCTTTTTGGAGGTCGTGAGAATAACTCGAACGGTTTATCAATGATTCACATCAAGAATTAAAACTACTATTCTTCATTTTTGATATAAATAAACTTGAATATTGAATAAAAAATTAAATTAATTGCTTTTTATTCATATTGTGTATTTCAGATGGCAATCTGGAACTAATCAAATGTGAAAATTTTCGAACATTAATTGATGAACAGATTTACTTCCGTAAATTTATATTTGATGTTACATTGTATGATTCTATTCTGATTAGCAATATAAATAGTAAATAGAATCAATATTGTGCGACGTATGATTAATATTAATTAGTAATGCTACTTAATGGATGTCTGAAATCGAGTTGCCTTATGTGAATAACCCCTAATCGATTCAAGGCGATTGCTTTTCTTTAAGCATGTCAATTACAGCAATCATCACTGAAGTTCAATAATACAGACTTGAAGGACGACAAATAGAGGAAGCAACTTTTTTGATGAATCAATCTACTAGAAAATTGAAAAAAGCTTATTTTGCATTTTCAAAATTACATTTTACATTTATTATCTCATTTCTACTTCTTTTTTTTTTCATTTGAATATAACAACGCATTATGTTATTTGATATTACTCAATCATTTCTCATGATTTCATTTATTTTTTTTGTATTTTTTTACTAATTTTATTTTAATCTACCAGTTATTTTCTATATTAGTCATTTACTTTTTTTTTAATTTGTTTTTTTTTCTTCAATATCTTCTTTTTTTATGCATTAAAATTTCCTATATCCTACCAAAAAAGTTTCTAATAAGTTTTCATTTACTTTACTCGCATCAAATGTATGTAGTGAATGATATATATTTATTTAATTATTATTTATTATTATTCATATTGGTTATTACTCAATTATCATCTAAAATCATCATCATTATTAGTTATGTAAGTGTTTAAATGTAGAACAACAAATTCAAGAAATATTTTGTAAATATCATGTAATATTAATATTATTATTAATATATGTAGCTCCTCTTTCACATACAATTCTTTAAATTTTTCTTTTTCTTTTTTTTATATAATCTTTTACTAGGGGCTTCTCCTTAAGTGTTACTAATGTCAATTAATTATTTCATATTTTTCTTCTTCTTTTATCTCATTATTTAAATTTGTAGGTAGTAATTCAACTTGTCAATTTACTATATTATTTTTTTGTTATTTTTTCTTTCTTTACTTTTATTTTTTGAGAGATAATTGCATTATGCACATCATCCTAAACACAAATCAACAAACAGTTAATTAAGCCTAAAGTTTCTTCTTCTTCTATTCCCAAACAGAAAATTATTAAGGGCATTCCTCAACGTAAAAATAACTCATGAATTTATTATTATTCTTATTTATTTTTGCCGACACAAATTGAAATTGATTTTTAATTGATCGACAGATTTTAAATCATTTTCTAGATATTTGAATTTAACGATTTTTCAAAATTCAAATTTGAGTGATTATTTAAAGAAAATCGAAATGAATTTTAAAAACCCTACAATTTACTACTCTAAAACACTTCAAATGTTTTAATGAGCTTCAAAATTCATACAATTGTTTTACTTGTAAAACCATACAAATTCTAGAAAATATCATTTGAACCTTATAAATGCCAAAACTGTTCAAATTCTATTGTAAGAACCCTACAAATGTCAATTTTCACGATATTTTATCAAAGCTACCAAAAAATCGACTCAATTAAAAATCAACGACAATTCCCGTCAGTATTTTGTTTCCATTTCGAAACAACAGCAAACTCCACGTCGTTTAAAAGGGCAGAAAATGTTAATTATGTAATCGAACTGTCATCATCAATGTGAATTTCAATTGACATGACATTTTAGTTCTGTAAAAAATTCATCCAAAAAAGTTTTATAAAATTTTACATGTTTTTTTTTGACTTCTCATTACACTTTTTTTGTATGTATCATGTTTAGAAAGATCTCGTTATGAAGGCAAGCTTAAGAGTGAAAATTAGAAAATTAATTAATATTAGGAATAACTATCAAGAAGGGGGGGGGGGGGGGGGGTGGATTTGTGGAAAAAATCATTGCAATGAGACTTTATCATTCTAAAAATCTTCTTATGAGAAAATGAGGAGAGACGATCTCCATAATACAATCATAAAACTTATTCAAGATTGATATCTCATCAGTAATTATATTATTAATAAGGCAAAAAAGAATTTTTTTTTCTTGTTATCAACAGTGATAAGATTCTCCTTAAATTATGCTCGTTCTTACTTTTGAGACGATCATTCATTATTAATTGCTGGGACTATGAAGTAATAACGTTTTTATTTTTATTCTTAGTTTTTTTTTTGCTTTGCTTAATTATTGTATCTTTATATATTGACTCGACTTGACCTATTCAGTTCATTTTTTTCTCAGTAATTTTTTTTTATCTTTAAATTTAAACTAAAGCTTTTTTAAATTTTTATTTCTCTTATCATAAACTTTCCTTGTAAAAAGAGGGACTTATAATTTTATTCATTTGAATTCTGCTATATTTATTATAATCGTCGTATTTTTCATCTTTTTAAATTAAAAAAGGTTCAACAGTCTTTTGATTTTTGCTTTATCTTAATTATTTCATCTTAGCAACAAGTTGTAACTAACCGAAAAACTATTAAACATTTCATTTATTTTATCGTCATAAAAAATTTTATTTTATTTCTTACGATAATTTTTTTTAAGCTGGTTTTTGAAAATCCTTATCATACCCGTGCAATATATGTATGTCTATAGATTTGTTTGTTTTTTTTTTTCATTATGTATCGTTTAATGGGAAACATGATAATTTAGTCAGATTTTATTGTATCTTCTTTCTTCATCTTAAATGGGACTTAAGAACATTTTTTTTTACACAATAGATAACAATTTTTTATTCATTTTAATATAACATTAAGTTTTTTTGCATCTGATATACCTGTTCGACTTCTTTTAATAACTACAATAAAGAATTATGAGACAAAAACTTGAAACGACCGAAAAAAGAAACTTAAAAGGAATCCAGTAACACATTCTATCCACTTAACACTTGTTTTACTTGTTGCTCACCTATCTTTAATTAAACTATTATTATTGTAATCTTCAGCAGATAACTTGTTTTTTGTTTTTAAATCTCATAAGCTTTTACTCGTTTTTTTTCCCTTATACCAAAGATATAATTAAGCTATGTGAGGAGTTTATAGTCGAAATATTGAAAGATATAGATTGCATTATCGAATTTTCACTGACTCTGGCTGCATTTCACTTTTGTAGACCATTATATGATTTTTTGAAATTAAAACGGTCGATTGAAATTTGAATTTTGTCATCTTTTCGTTCAGTAATCAAAAATTTCATTTCAATTCAGTTCAAAATTTGAATTTTTAACGAAAGTTGTTACTTTAAGTCACGAACAAGAGTGAAATCAGCGCCAAATGAAATCTTTTGACCAGCAAAATTCAGCCAATGTATAAGTATAGTTTTAAATTAGTAATTAGTCGAGGTATTTGATTTCTTAGCAGACAGAATGGTTTGAAAGATTACTGGACAGTGTGTGAGAAATTTTATTTTTTTAAAAAAAAGATGAAGTGATACTTATACTCTATTTTTTCATTGTTTAAAAAAACTTTTTAAGCATTTCTTTCATCTCATTTTTTAGACAACTCAGTCCCAATATCAATTTATTACGTTTAAATTTACGTGTTCTTTTTTTTTGTTTAATTTAAGACTATTCTCGATGAAAATTTGTGAATTTTATTTTAAATTAAAATTATATATCATTATTTATCATAAGATTTAACAAAAGAACTAATAAAACAAATTATTTATGGTTTTAAAAAATGCAAATATATCTATTAGGTTCTATAATTATTTCATTTAAGGACTTCTAATGAAAAAGGATTTTTACAAGTTTTTCTTTATTCAAAAATTTTTCATTTTTTTAAGGAAGAATTTGAAAAATTCGGTTTAACTCGCTTATCATTTTCTTTTGAATATAGAGAATAATTAATCGTGAAATTTACAAATATTTTTTTTTTATAATTACCGATTACACAATCGACACTTAATTTCCTTTCTGCAATGGAGTTCGCTGTACTTTTGAATCTTAACTGTTAATTGATATTACAAGGTATAATTTTTTTTATTACTTTTTTATGTTCTTTCATAGCATTTTTTTCTTATCTTTATTTTGCCATAATTTTAAATGTTACTCGCAAATGCCATCGATGATGTTAGAATTTCATGAACTAGTGCAACTAAATTGAAGTTTTCACAATCGTTCTTGTGATCGAGTGCAATTTCTGCCAATTACTCCTCAGCATATAATCCAGAGATGTTGTTTTTTGATAATTTCAACACTCGATCAATCAATTTAAGAAGAAAAAAAACCCAATTTAGCAGCTCTAGTCCACACATTTTTATTAAAAATTGAAAAAACTAAAATTTATGAAATTGCATAAAACTTCTTTTTTTATAAATATTTTTATATTATAAAGTGATTTCAATGCTTAAGTTTGATGTTAATCGTATAATTAATTAATTAATCAATTAAAAATTACATTCAGCACTTGTTCTTTCCATTTCCTTTTCAATGAGTGAGTATTCAGGATAATCAAATTGCAAAACGCATAAGACCACCTCTTTAACTTTCTACTTAATTCGTATAACGTTATAAGAAACTAGGATAAACTTTGTTATGACTGGGATTTTTCTCTTGGATTCTTTATGCTGTAGTTATTAGAGATTTAATGATCAATGATAGTTAAGATATCAAATCAGAACCTGACAACTAAGCCTAGTTAATATTATAGCCTTAACCTGAAGTCGACAAGTCACATCTAAGAGAAAAATCCATTAAAAATACATGTTGAATCATGATGACTATTGTAAGAATTGAATTTAATTATTTCTCATTTTCTACAAAACAAATTAAGAAGTATGTTTAATCTTTAGGTACATCATATTCAAAAAACCTAAGTCATCAGTTCGCATTTTGGTTTTTAATAGAAAAAAAAACAATAAGAGAAAAAATAGTATAATTGTGTAATATTAGATATTGTATTGATCATCATCGTACAATATTTTCTTACATATTGTTGTTACTTTATCTCCTTTTTGACACTATGTATTATTAATTCATTAATTAGAAATTATGAAAAAGCTTTTAAAATTTACAATAATGGAAGGAAGGAAAATATATATTATTTATCAGTCCCACGTGCCTTAAAATGATGTTTTTTTTTGTTTCTACCACTAATTTATAAACTTTATGTCTATTATCCTTCACGTATTGTAGTTTATTCTCTATTATTTAATATCGAAAAGGACACTTTTTAAAAGGGGAAGAGAACGCAAGAAAACAAAAAAATATTATTAAGATTTAAACGGCCCTGGTTGCTTCTTCTTTATATTCTAAATATTCTTTTTTTTTACATCAAATTTGATATTACATATACTCTTAAGATCGACAAAATGACTTTTTAAAAAAGTCATCTTAATGAATTAATAATAAACAAAATGTGTTGCTGTCTATTCAGAACGTTGTCGATGCGTGGCTTGTGGATCGTCTTGGGATATCTGTATGGACCTACTAGACACTAATCAAATCATTAGAAGTCCTCGAAGTAGCTAGAAATAGTTAAATGTCTACAGCAATTGAAATATCGAAGATAGAACCCTAAACTTTTAAGACATCCCATGACACCCCCAAGAAATCCTCAAAACCACCAACAAAATCGCAACAATATCGATCCATATAATTTTAAATGTGGTAGTATAAAGTATTCTAATTTATGAAATATGGAAAATGAGAATTAAAAATTAAACAAAAAATGATAAAAGCAATAAAACCTAAAATCAAAAGAAATGTTCTGTAAACTAAAAATCACATTTGGTAAGCGCAGCCATTATGAGAAACTTATTTTTTATAGAAATCATAATTATATTATTTACTAAATTTTGACTTAATTAGTTGCAGGATTGATAAAAAGGTAAATCTTTTCTTACAATATTTTTTCTTCTTCTTCTCGTTTCATCATAACACAATTATACAAATTTCTTCATTTATCGTATATGCTTAATCAAGGTCTTTATCATACCCTTTCTAATTTCCTTTTCATTTATCATTAATTCATTCTTATTTTTCTTTTTCGTTTAAAATTTAAAATGGGAGAGAGAGATAAAAACTTTTTAATTAATTGCAATGTTTTTTTTTCTAACTTATCAAAATGAATCATATTCATCGTATAATTTATGCTGGAAGGTTGCTTGAATCTTGCTTAAATGAAGCTCGCAAGTGTTTTTGGTTCAGAACTTTTTTGACATTCTTACTGAAGTATTTGAAAGCTGTATAAATGTTTTAATGTAATTTATAACTGTTGTAGTGTTTTATTCCAAAAAAATCAGGCTGTTGTATGGTTTTGACACCTGATTTGTCAGCATTTGTATGGCTTTAGAAAGAAATTGTATATATTATCTTACAAATTGAAATTTGTATAGTTCAAAAGTAGTCTCAAAAACATTTTTGCGGTTTCAAATGAAAAAGTTCAAGCACTTCCAGCATCAGTTCAAAATATTTCAATCGAGTTATGCATCAAGGATAGTATAAAATGTACTAAATACTATAAACGATGTAAATTCATCTTCAAAAAATTCTAAAAGGCGTTTATTTTTGTCTTAAAATAATTTTCAGCTTTTCCATGAATTCAATAAATATAGTGGAAGGACAAACATGATAGATATTTTTCTTCCTCATATAACTTTTTTTTTTCGAAAAGAGAAAATTTGTATGCGTTTAATAATAAATTAATATAAAACTTTTTCATTTCTACATGAGTAAATACAATTTTCTTCTTTTTTTCTCAATTTTTGTGTTTTTGATGTATATAATCTTATTCGTCAAGAATTGTTTCCATTTTAACAAAACAAAAAAATTTTAAGAACCTACAAATCTAATCACTTATCTGTGAATATTCTTTTCAATTAATTAATTAATTACTTATGTTTCTTCTCATAATATGCATATATCATTAAATCAAGAGTTGCCCCCGAAATTTTGGATTTTTTTACCTTTTTTTTTTCTTTCTTCTTCATTATGTCAGTTATAAATTTTTTCTTGAAATTACAAATCTTGTTAAATTCAATTTTGATTTTTCTTTTTTTAAAACAATGTTTCTGTGAAAATGGAAAAGCAAAATTCATAAAAATGTATAAAATAATAATATAATTAAAGAGTGTGTTATTAGTTAAATATATCTATCGATATACATCATCAACGTAAAAGTTATTCTGATTATAAAACAAATAAAAAAAAAATAAAAAAAGGGAAATTAATTAATTAACTCAATTCTCTTTCATATCAGTTTAAATTATTTGCTTAATATTCTGATTTAAATATCTTTTATAATCGTCACCTGTTGGTGGATATTGGCCTATATCGTTTCCATATGTTGAACGTGTTGGAGGTCCTCCATATGACTGTGGCTGATCGTTTGTGTAATTGCCTAAATATATATATATTGAATCTTGATTATTTATCTTGAAATTTTGAGTACATTTTTTTTTTAAATTTTTTCTAATTTGATTTCGTCAATCCAAAGCCTTTTAATGTCTGGATGAGATAAAATTTCCGCTAAATGTGCGAAAATTTAGTGTGTATATAATAATAATAATAAAAAGAATGTGAATAAATGAGCACGACTGTGTATTTATAGATATTTTCTTTTTTTATGTTAAATAGGAAGGAAAAAAGACGACGATGATGATGATGAGTAGTAAAAGAAATTTTACTCACCATAACCTCCATAAGAATAGTCTGCAGACGGTCCTTTACCGGTATTATTTCCTGCATTTCCAGTCGGTCCCATTCCAGTTGGAGCTGATCCCGATCCTGATTGACGATTATACATTTCATCTGTAAAATTACATCAACAAGTCATTAGTAAAGAAAGTCATAAAAAAAGTTGCAAAACAATTTTAAAGGTAAAAGAGTGAATTTTTACATTAGACTTCTACTTTATTGTATGCCACGAACTATCAAGGAATGTAGACGAATTATAGAGAAAAAAATTAAACCTACAATACTCACTAGATCCGGCAGATGCGCCGGAATTTGTCAATGGACCCCAAGAGTTCCAATTTCCTCCAGAAATTCCTGAGCCAGGAGCAGCTGTTTGCGCAGCATTCGAGGAATTGTACATGTCTAAAAATGCACCAGAAATATAATCACACAATATTGTACACAATTCATGATTATTTACCATATGCAGAGCTATATCCTTGTGGAGTTTGCTGTGCTGTAGCATTATAATTGCTCCATTGATGTGGAGGTGGAGCTTGTGGAGCGGCTTGAGGTGGACTTGGGCCCCATCCTTGATTATAATTTGCAGGACTTGGACCGCCATAGCCGTAATTTTGTTGTTGTGATCCCCAGCCAGCTGTTGAAGGATATCCACCCATCATATTTGGAGCCATCATATTCATTGGTGGTCCAGCATTCATTTGACTATTCGGTCCTTGCATTGTCATTGGATTTCCAATTTGAGCTGATGGTGGTGGTCCCCAATTATTGCCTCCCATTGACTGATTATTTGGATCTTGATTCATCTTATGATTTTGTGATCCATCTCGAGGTTCTGCCTTCTTAATCTCGACTTGCTTGCCATTTAATGTAATATAATGTTCCGTTGTAACTCGCTCAACTGAGGCTTCATCCTCAAACGATAAAAATCCAAATCCTCTTGATTTCTTCTTTTCTTGATCATACATGATTACAACTTCCATAACTTTGCCATAACGTCCAAAAAACATACGCAAATCTGTCTCCGTTACATTGGATGGTAAGCCACCGAGAAAAACTTTTGGATATGATCCACCGCGTGTCTTAGGCTTTTGCATCGTTCTTGGATTACATTGTTTAGGGTCAATGGTTCTTTAAAAAAAAAAAATAAAAGAAAAGAAGCATACGATAAGTACAGGATAATAGGTAGTAATAATAAGAAGAAGAAATTCACATGTTATGTTCATAACATATGTTAACAACATAGCACTGTATTTTATGCTTACCTTCCGTCCAAATTATGTGGACCGGATTGCAAGACAACCTAGGGATTAAAATTTAATTAATTGATGTGATAGTTGAGCTGATATCAGAGAGACGTACATCCATACATACCTGCACATTATTCGGATCAGCAAAGGTTACAAACCTAAGCAGCAGTAAATATGGAAATGATAGAAAAAAGTATAAGTAAGAGTGTACTGGATATAAGGTTAAAATGAAGAGTAGGAAAATAAAAATATGGAAAATGTCATTTACCCGAAACCTCTCGATCTGCCTGTTTCATTATTTTTCATAACAACGCAATCGATGACTTCTCCATATCGGCTAAAGTAACGTTGTAAGGAGTCTTGAGTCGTTTCCCATGACAGACCACCGACGAAAAGTTTGCTGTAAGTTCAAAACATAAAGCCATGAGTGACACACACACAAAATTTAAAAGTTACGTATGATAAGAATGTGATCAAATTAAATTAAAGACCATTTTTTTTCTTCCTTTTGCTTTGCGATCATAAAATTTGTCACATCATCAAAAATTTAATTTTTATAAAAATAACACCTTAAAATGCCTTATTCTTACCCTTTCTCATCATCCTCCACATCGACACCAGCATTCATACGCATTTTTCCTCTGTGGGACTGAATTTTGATGAATTTATTGGACAAATGAGAAGTGAAAAAATGCGTTTTTCTCTTTACTGAAGTTTAGTTCCCCGTATGTACTGACTTTTTTTTTGGAAGTCTGTTCTTTTACACGATAAATTTTCTTATTTACAATTAATTTTAGATTTTAATTTACAATTAAGCTTATTTTAAATGTTGATAAAAGCTAATTAATTTGTTTTGGGTGTTTTGTAGATTAAATTAATGTCTAAAATTAAAAATAAAAAAATTTTGCTTATCCTAGAAACTTTAGAGAAGATTTTTTTTCAGCTATCAAGAAATTCCGTCACGGACATGCTGTGAAAAATTTGAATTATTGTCAGCAGTTACGTTTTTCACCTTTTCCAATTTACTCAATTGAATTTATTTTCAAGCTTAAAATCTTGTCAAACTCGTAAAATATTTTTTAAAGCTCTCAAATTCCTTATTTTCCTTTCAAATCAAGGCGTGAAAACTATCCCAAATATCCCATATATCCCAAAAATATTCAAAATAATCCCTAAGCCTGTATGCATTAGAATTTCCCATCATATCCTAAAATTACAGGTCCAATACACTAAGGATACGTTGGGATATCTTTATTAACGTGCATACATGCTCAGGTATTTTTTGAATATTTGTGGGATATGTGGGATAAACATGATATTTGGGATAGCTTCCACGCCTTGTTTCAAATCTTGAAACTATAACTTACTTCGTCATATGAGAACCTTATCAAATAAATTTGACGGCTGGGCTATTCGCGGGATCTTTTGAATTTCGCTAATGCTTTAATATATGCTCACTTACCATCAAAAATAGATTATCTTAATGCTAATACTGCTAATTCACTTTACAACAAAATGATTTATTTAAATGTTTTCTTATGATTTGCTTACTGCAATTAATTTGTTCTTGTAATGATACTTTTAACTGTCAAATTATTCTTAAAAGGTCCTCGACGAAAAAAAATTATTCGTGAGTGTTTGTCGATTTTCTCCGAATCCTTAACAATGACAATTGTGAAACTTATTTTGTTTAATCTTATGATATACAACTCAGTTTATAAAGTTGAACAATTGCTTCAGAATAGAGCTCTAAGTGTCACTCACGAATAATTTTTGGGAATTTTGCCATAACTTTGTCAGTTTTCATTGAAACATCTTCAAATGTATTGTTTTAGGTCAGAATACTTATTCTCTTTTGTTTGACTTAAAAAAAGTAATGAATTGTCCCCGAAATATACTTAAATCAACAAAATTAAGATAAAATTTTTTTAACGGTTTAAAATTTTTTGAATTTTTTCTGTTGTGAGATGTTTGTTTACAAACAAAACTTGAAATGAAATTTAAAAAATCATGAAAATATCACTCAATAATGATGTTAAAGCTCTTAAAATAGGCAGAACAGCTAATATATCATCTACTTTTCGTAATCATACATAATATTTGGTAATAATGATTAAATAATTAAGTTATTTGAGAATTTAATTTTTGATGTTTTGTAAGATAGTGTTAGTGAATTTCAAACTTTTCAGTTGAGCAATAATCCTTAAAAAATCGTCCAAGCCCAATACAAAAACAACATCAACAAAAAAAAATTGTTCAAAAATATCACTTTAATTTAATATCCAAGAAAGTACGACACTTTGAGCTGTCAAAACAATACAGCAAAACAGGTAATATCAACAACTACTGATTCTAATTGAAAGACTACCAATTAATCAAGAATATACTTCATTTTTTGCACAAAAGTTAAACGTTTGTAAAAATAATGGGAAAAGAGAAGGAAAAATCAACAAGATCTGATCTTAAATTATCTCGTGACAATAGAGATAATCGTGACAAAGATAGAAAGGATAAGCGTAGATCACGTTCCAGGTCTCGGGATCGCGAAGAAAGACGTTTAGACAGAAGAAATGACGATGATAGAAAGCAAAAGGAATCAAAGGATCAAAAACCATTAAAATCAGAGATTAAAAACGAAGATGATGAGCTGCAAATGCCAACAAGCAGAAAAAAGGAACCATTGTCATTAGAAGAGCTTCTTGCCAAAAAGAAAGCTGAAGAAGAGAAGAAAAGTAAGCCTGTATTTATATCAAAGGAACAGCGAGCTCAAGAGGCTATTAAAAGACGACAGGAACAAGTAGCTGCACTACGTGCTGCTGCAGCTAGTGTCCCAAAGTTTGGTGATGTTCCTGTAACTGATATATTGCGTAAAGAAAAGGAACAACAGCGAGTTTTTGATAGACGTGACCGAGAAAGGGAAAGAGATAGATATGAGAGGGAGAGAGAAAGAGAGCGTGATAGGTACGAAGAAAAAAGGGATAATAGAGGAGGTCAGCAGTCACAACGAGATCAACAGCAATCAAGAGATGGACCATCCAGAGAAGTTGAGAAATTTGACGATGTAGCTATTACAGTTAAAGATAAAGAAAAGGAGTCAGAAGCAATTCGTGAAAGATATTTGGGGATTATTAAGAAAAAGCGTCGAGTACGTCGATTAAATGACCGTAAATTCGTTTTTGATTGGGATGCAAATGAGGATACATCAAACGATTATAATCAGTTGTATAAAGATCGTCATTATGTACAATTTTTTGGCAGAGGAAATATCGCTGGAATTGATATTAAGGAACAGAAACGTAAACAGAGTAAATTTTATGGAGATTTATTGGAAAAACGTAGAACTGATGCCGAGAAGGAACAAGAAAAGGTTCGATTGAAAAAAGTCCAGAAGAAAGAAGACAAACAGAAATGGGATGATCGTCATTGGACAGAAAAGAAGCATTTAGAAATGACAGAACGCGACTGGCGTATTTTCAGAGAAGATTATAACATCACTATTAAAGGAGGTCAAATTCCTAATCCTATTCGCAAATGGGAAGAAGGTGGTTTTTGTAAAGATATTTTGGACATTATTGAACAAGTTGGATATAAAGAACCGACACCAATTCAAAGACAAGCCATTCCAATTGGTCTACAAAATCGAGATATTATCGGTATTGCAGGTAATTTATCGGCACTTTTGTCTATAGATTATTTTTGTGCTTATCTGATTTTTTTTTTATCCTTTTAGAAACTGGTTCGGGTAAAACACTTGCATTTTTAATTCCTTTATTAACATGGATTCAGTCATTGCCAAAACAAGAACGTCAAGAGAATATCGATCAAGGTCCATATGCTATTATATTAGCACCAACAAGAGAATTGGCACAACAAATTGAGGAAGAAACAAGAAAGTTTGGAACTCCGCTTGGAATTAGAACAGTCGTCGTTGTTGGTGGTTTATCTCGTGAAGATCAAGGCTTCCAGTTACGTTTAGGTTGTGAAATTGTTATTTGCACACCGGGTCGTTTAATTGATGTCCTTGAGAATCGCTATCTCGTATTGAATCAGTGCACATACATTGTTATGGACGAAGGTAATTTATCAAACTTTAAGTCATGGATTTCAATTTAATCCGAAGCTTATCTTTCGGATATGGGGCCCGTCAAAAATAATAGGCATTTCAGTTTAACGGTTTAATAAAATTCAAAAATTTCTCATATTTTTGTGCAAAATTACCAAAACTTTAATCAGCTGAAAATCTAATTAATACTCTTGAATTTTTAACTTTATCTCTTTTAAAACACAAAATAGAACCTTAGAAACATACTATCGACATTTAAATATGAGTGAATATGAAAATTCAAAAAAATGATATTCGTTACAAGATTTTGAAACTTAAAGTGTTAATTTAAGCAATTTCCAATCATTTTATTGATAAAAATGATAATTTGAATGAACAAATAGAAGAAATAGCACAATTAGGTACAGAAAAACTAAAATTTAAGCTGGGAATAAAGAAGTTATTAAAGGTTGTTTACACTCAAAATACCCTTTCCCGAAAATTCTACGTCATCGGTGGATATTCGAATGGCTCTACAAAAGGAACCAGACATGCTAGGAAAACGATAATGGTGTCAAATTCTTTGTCTCGGCGAATTCTATAATACCAATAAAGAACAAAATACAGTTTCATAGAAAAAAATCACAAAAAATTACTAAAAGTGGTCTCCGATGACGTAGAATTCATTTTTGACGGGCCCCATATATTAATCTTTCCTCAAATTTGCAACTAATGACGTAAAATTTATTTTATATCAACAGCTGACAGAATGATAGACATGGGTTTCGAACCAGATGTTCAGAAAATCCTGGAGTTTATGCCTGTGTCTAATTTAAAGCCAGACAACGAAGATGCTGAAGATGCAACAAAACTTATGGCAAATTTCAATACACGCAAAAAGTACAGACAAACTGTTATGTTTACAGCTACTATGCCTCCAGCAGTTGAGCGACTTGCTCGAACTTATTTAAGACGTCCAGCTACAGTTTATATTGGTTCTATTGGTAAACCAACAGAACGTACTAAACAGATTGTCGTTATGACTACTGAAAATGAGAAGAGAAAGAAGCTTATGGATATTCTCAAACAAGGTCTCGAACCTCCAGTTATTATTTTCGTCAATCAAAAGAAAGGCGCGGATGTTCTGGCAAAAGGATTGGAGAAGTTTGGATTCAATGCCTGTACATTGCACGGTGGTAAAGGACAAGAACAGAGAGAATATGCTCTCTCGTCACTTAAGAATGGTTCCAAAGACATTTTGGTTGCTACTGATGTTGCCGGTAAGTTATTGTTGTTATGAGATTTTTGTAGGACTTGAACTAATTAATTTTCTATTATCCAGGTCGTGGTATCGATATTAAGGATGTATCAATGGTCATTAACTACGATATGGCAAAGACTATCGAAGATTACACTCACAGAATTGGTCGTACAGGACGTGCTGGAAAGACGGGTACAGCTATAAGTTTGGTGACAAAAGATGACAGTCCATTGTTCTACGATCTTAAGCAGTTGATTATGAGCAGTCCAATTTCAAGTTGTCCACCAGAATTGATGAATCATCCAGAAGCACAGCATAAGCCTGGAACTGTTGTTACGAAGAAACGACGAGAGGAAAAAATATTTGCGTGAGTAATGTACCTTTTTTTATACCTCAAATGCAATATTTACCGCTAAAAGATCAAAATAGAATTTTTCATCTTAAAAATATCCTTAAAATCCATCGCGATGGATTAATAAAGCAATATTTTTTCCCCGATTATTCATGGTCCGACTTTTTATAACAGTTTAAGGTATTTGAAAAGGGATTGATTTGTGCAATATAGGCAAAGAAAAATGTGTGGCGTTTAAAATGGGACGAACCTTTCAAAATGGTCTATAATTTTCTCACTTATAAGTAACAGACTCTTGCAATGCGAAAAGAAGAAAGGAATTTAATTTTTTACGGCTCATTAGGTTGCTTTTGAAATTTGAAGAAGAAAATTGAATCATAGACTGTTTCAGTCGCGTGGTCAAATAAATTAAAAATATGTGCCTTCAATATGTTCTGTTGAGGCTCAATGGCATTAAGTGGATGCTGGTTTGTTCAGTAATACAAAAGTTCATGTCAGTAAAGTGCATTTTGAATTTTTGAAAGCCATTAAATTATTCAAAATTTTCAAAACCGATGAAATTTAAATTTTTGAATACCGTTATAAATTCGTTAAAAACGTTCTATGCTGTATAAACTTGAAATTTCTTCATCAGTTGAAGCTTTACACAGCACATTGAATAGATTTATTCTCTTTGCTTATTATATTATAGTCATTATTAAATTATTTTCGAGTTTGTGGTTCAGAAAAAAAAACTACCTTAAAGATTTTGATAATATTGCTTACCTACTTGCGAAATTACTTAACGTACATTTTTAAGATGAGATAATGAATCAATTTCACTTTTGATTACAAATTACAACTTACAATATTTTTAATGGTTCTTCCTTTATTCTGCTTTCTTTTATCATTACAGTGATTAATAAAATTGTTTTTAAACGTAAAAAAATTTTGATCGAGGGGTAAGAACAGAAGCTGGTTAATGAATACTTTTCATCCTTCCTCTGCTTGCTTAATATTATGTAGAAAATAAAGAAATGATTTGGAGGTAATAAAAGATCACTCCATTCAAATAAGAAGCATAATGTGCTTTAAATTAACTGTTTAGTGCGATTTTTCCTGTCAAAATTGAGATTTCAGTGAATTTTCAAGGGGTATACACTCGGGATTTTTGGGATTAATCACAGACATTCTGTACAAGTGCAATGCTTACAAAAAGTCAAATATTTTGTTAATTAAAGTATGTAGAAGGAACCAATAACAACAAAACGATAGAGTTTACCATTTTACATAATTGTTTTGTGTCGTTGATAGCTTAAAATCTCACAAAAAAGAATTTGAAGTCTCAAAATACTATCCAAATTACAAAAAAAAAGTTTGTCAATAAAGCATGAAATTCAACTTTTGTATTTTTATCTATGCTGGTTGCAGTTCTGTATGCATTTTGATCCACTTAAATATCTATAACTTTATTCAGAATCAATATTTTGCAATCCGTTTTCGGTTATTGCTAGATTAAATCAGTACCTATAAAATTTGTATGAAACTTAAACTTTTTATGGAAAAGTTTTCAATGTGACCGACGCAAGCTGAAATTTAACAAAATAGCCAAAATGAAAATTTTTTGATGGGTAACCATCTAAAAGTAATGTGTTTTGTCTCAAATGTGCTTAAACGATGTGAACGTGTGTGTTTGTTTTGAAGTGGTATATCTAGAAATGACGTTATTGAAAAAGGGTCGGTCACAAACCAGGCTCATATTCATGACCAAAATCAAGATAAACTATCAAGTTTTATACATTATTAGAAAGGTACTGACTTAAGCTACAATAAACTGAAAACAGAATTAAAAAATATTCTGTTTCGCAAGAGTACTAGTGGTTTGAGTGATGAAAAAAACATAAAGATATCAAAAGTACAATTTTAAATTACGTTAAGCATTAGAAACTTCAGAAAAGTTATTTATTTTGTAATTTTAATAAGAAAATTTTGATTTTTGTAAAATATTCGACGACTCACTTAAATCACAATAATTTTATTTTGCACCTGATTCAGCTAAAGTTGAGTACAGTTTTGGAAATTAGAAATCAAGAGCTACACTGTGATAATATATGGATTTTAGGATAGAAGTTGGGCATTTACGATAGTTGCGGCATGTTTAAAGATATTTTTTCTTGGATTTTCATACATTTGCTAGCATAGCGATACCAAAACTATAAATTTATTTATATGATACATCATAATACAGCTCTTACTTGATAATTTTAAGAATTGAAAACCCTTTTTTTATATATCTATTGTAGAGATTTTTCAATTTTAGTGAGACATGAAAAAAAATCAAAATTTTCGCTTATTCAACTTCAAACAGCCACAAAATTACAAAAAAATTTAAATTTTGGCCCTTAATGCATTAAAGCTTGCAGTTTGTTTTACGGAGAACAAAGGACGTGACTTAGGTATAGAAATCGAACGTATTGATATGAGTTTACTTACTGAAGATTCACAAGACGTAATCAACATACGAGATGATATTGATTCTGAATTTCTTTTGAAAGATTATTTAGAAAATAAGAGTGATGCATCCAAGACATCAAATATTGACATTGATCAAGAAATTGATATAGATGTTCATCAATTCCCAAATGACTTAATAATAACAAATATAAATTTTTGAAGGAATAATTCCACAGCAAATTACAAAAACGATTTGGGAAGAAAAGGAAATGGGACGTGGTGATCATATTATTATACATGAAAATGGAATATTGGGAAAAGAAAGAATTAAATATGAATTACTCTAATAATAATGAAATAACTCTCTTAAAAATTTTAGAGCAAATTTTCAAGATTTTTACTTCCATAAAAAAAATTTATAAAATTTTAAAAATCCCTGAAAAAAATCCCAGGTTTTCTACAAAAATCCCGAAAAATCCCAACTTTTTTTTCGAGTGTATACGCCTTGTGAATTTTTAAAAACCAGAAGTACTGGAAAATTACAGCAAATATCTTGATTCTTCCCTGCATCCAACACCATGAATATTTGAAGAGTTTAAGATGATCAAATGAGGCACAACATCAATAGTAACTTTATATTTCTCCATAAATATGAAAATATCAGCTGTGCGTGTCGAGATGAATGAGCAAAAGATTAGAAATAATTAAATTTGTTTTTGAGAGTTTTTTTCATATTACCCAATGTTGTACAATAGAACTCATTATCGCTTAGCTGAATATGTTTCAAGGACTTTAGAACATCGAGTATGCCATCAGGAAAGATATGCTGACGAAAACGGAAAATTCGATTGCCATTCAAGTGTAAGTATTTTAATTTGGTTAACGAGATTATTGACTTGAGTGTGAAATTTTCCAACTTATTGTATGAAAGATCCAAAGTTACAAGAGAATTTGGGAACTGTCCATAACGAACGATGAATGAATTATTTGATAAATTCAAAGTTCTTAGTCGTTCCAATTGTGCCAATGCTTTATGTGGAATTAAACTCAATTTGTTGTTGGATATGTCAAGCTCTTCCAATTGGTAAAGCTTGTCAAACGCATCTACATCAATTTCCTCAATCTCATTATGATTAAGCACGAGCTTCCTTAGATTTGAGCACGGCGTAAAAACTTTCTCTTCTAATTTTGTCAATTTATTCCAACTGAGATTCATGTCGAGGATGTTTGATGCATTTTCAAAAGTGTTGGAAGGAAGTTGAAGTAAATCAATTCCACTTGCATATAAACTATTTACAGCTTTATACTTGTTGAACAAATTACTTGGCAACTTGCTGATTGTACTATTAACAAATCCAACACAATCAAGTCCGTAATTTGCTTCGTCAAAGTTTAAAACTAAGCTTGTGCTTTCATCTACGTGGATTTCCTCAAAAAAACATGAAAGTCCATTGATGCACCGATAAGGTAAGTTCACGATTGATTGAACATCAAAGTTTGGATTGCATTTTAATTCGATTACTTTTGAGCACTCAAAAGTGACAAAAACTGTGGAACTACAAAAATATTTTAAGAATTTTCACCACAGGAACTAGTTTGGAGTCTAAAACTTACAGAAAAATTGATAAAAATATAAATCTCATTCTGACTGAATGATTTGTTGTTTGCACAGCGAATTCACGATAAAGACTGCTTAATTTTGGGGACAATAGCTTAATATCCACTCTCACAAAAAAATTACAAAACTCTCCTCTCAAGTTTTGAAAATGAAAATTCGCTCTTGTGCTGTAAAATTGTCAGATAAAGATTAGAAGCTTTGACACTGACCTATGACATCATTTTATGTTTGAGGCTGTTTGATGGTAAATGCAATTTGAGTACGAGCGTTGTGGATGAGATCGAAATGCTCAGTTAACAATGCTCTATATTTAAGTACAAAATGTACAGTTAAGGATAAATCGAACACTTTGGGGCCGTTCACTTATTACGTTCGCGTTTTAGGGGGGAGGGGGGGTTTGAAAAATTGTAATAAAATGTAACATTGAGGGGGGGGGGGGTGTCAAGAAGTTTGTTCACCAAATTCACATCAAATTCCTTTTTTTAAAAATTTTTCCATTTTCCACCTTTTTAATGATAAAATAAATTATGAACGTTCAGGGGGGGGGGGGGGGTAAAAAAATGTTTTTTTTGCGTAACGTAATAAGTGAACGGCCCCTTTAAAGTCTATTAAAAAGCAATCATAGATTAAAGATGAACAAACAAGTAGCTTGTTAAGCGATTGCAAAAATCCACAATCAGAGAGTTTTGTGTTATAAATGAAACTTTGTGGTTGAATATGAGTCAGTTATTTACCATTATAGGTCAATGATATGGTGTGAAGCATTTTATGATAATTTATGTTTGCGGTTCTTAATTTACAGAACACAAATCTTTATGGCAGCGATATAGAAAGAATAGCAATGAAATGAAAGGATTTGAATGACTGTTAGTGAGATAGATCATAATCAGTCTCTTACTCTGTGTTCTCAAAAGCATAATCATCTCCAAAATATATATTTCTTTATGATTGATGACACGCCAACAATGAGCTTTATTAGCTTCTTCATCGGTATTACTGATCATTTCACACCGTTTAAGTTAATTATATTACAATTAATCGACAATCACATTCACACACAGTCAAAATAATATTTCATTTCTTTTCGGAATTTAAGCCTGTTTAAATAACAATTACAATTATTTACCTTTGATGTTGTTGCGCACTCTGTGCTGTGCTGTGCTGTGCTGTGCTGTATGTTACTTGCTTGTTGTGCTATCAAAAGATTCTTCGCGAAAAGAAATTTGTGAAAAGAAATAATTGAAAGACAATCAATTGCTGTGCTTAGTGCCTTAGTCATTCTTGCAAAATTCCATAAATTCTCTCACTGGACATTATTGGCTGTAAATCGATAATCTCTGTTAAGTTTATAATGAATTCAAGACCTAGACATTCTAAATGCTGCTAGACTCTTGGATAAAATGGAATTAAGGCATGCGAGGTATCAAAAAATATTTAAATCACGCAAAATGTCAAAAATAGCATTAATGCAAATTTTGTTGCTCAAGGCACGTGCTTGCATGATTTCTAATTTATTCAGAATAATAATAATAATAATAATAATTTGATGAAATTATGGAAGCTGAAGATTCATTTAATTAAATTAAGCTTCGCTTTGTGATGCAGGCAGTCAGCAATTGCAGTTATACTTTCATTCATTGATTTCATTCCTTATAAACTTTTTCATTGAATGGACTGCAAATTGGTTCTTAATGGAAAAATTGGTTTCATTGGAAGCGCGGGAATTGACAACAAAAGAAAGCGACAAATTTGCCATTTGATAAACATGATTGAATGCAGCTTACAACGGGTTTTTAGTGTTCGATTTCAATTCGATCGAATGTGAGACAATTTCATTAATTGATTTAATCGATTTACAGCATTAATTACAAAACTACAACAATCTGAAATGCACTGTGAAGTGATTGCCGATCACTATTTCCCTTTGTTCTTTCACAGAGAATGATTGAATTCCTTGAGCATGTTTTTTTCTGTTTCAAAATTTTCTTCTTCTTTATTCTTATTTCATATTTTTACAATACTTCCAATTGCACAACACTTATGGACTAAATTGATAATAATAATTTCAGTCTTACATAAAACTAATCAACTACTTTGTTCCTTAAAATATTATTATTTTGACATGCGGCATTAAGAAAAGTTAAAGGAACTGCCGCAAACAGATTTGTCGTATTCTAAATCATCATGTCGCCTCAAGCAGCTTCAGCAAGTATAATGTCCAACAATAGTAGTACTTAAGTAGTCACTCACTGAACAGATTTTTACACATTTATGATGGAAATCACTTAATAGCTACCTTCAGTCCCTCTTTAGTAACTCATTTAGTGCTGCGATATATGTTTGAGCCATTTGAAGTGTTTCGTATTTCGACAATTTCCTGTCATTTCCTAAATTTGGAACTACGTCTCTTAATCTGTTTTGGATGAAAACCTGTTCATTTAGTTTTATGTCCAATAAAATTGGATTTATTGATTGCCTTACCTATCGAATGCATAATTCAAGTTGTTCATCCTCTTTCGTTCTCTTGCATTTGCAGCCACGCGCCTTCTTTTAAGAACTTCAGGTACGACAACTGTAGACTTCTCTTCGCCTGAACTTTTCTCAATACTTTCACATCTGCTGATAATAATATTTTGATGATCCTTGATTGATTCTTGTCTACAGTTACTGAATTTTTGACATTCCTCAATTGTTTTAATCGGACTTGGCTGCTGATAAAATGTCGAGCTGTTCTGATGAGTCTGCTCATAATATTGATTATATTGAATATTCATATGACATTGTACATTATATTGAGGTGATGAAACTGGAGATGTAGAATTTTGATACTCGTCCGAAAACTCACTTGCCGAATCATTAAAATAATTGAGTCCATAGTTCGAATATCCATGGAAATTGTTGTAATTCACTGAATTTATTGACGAAGTCATAAACACTGAAGTCATTTTATTTTTTCTTGTTCCTTATTTCTTTTATTTTTCACGTCTGATCTTTACCACGAATCAATTCAAACTGATCGACCAGAAAAATAATTCCTCAACATAAGAAAAAGTAATCATCGATTAGGTTTTTACCTGCGAGCGATATCAAAATAGTCAGCATAAAGGAGAAATAATGAAAATTTGAGAGAAGTTTGTGGAAAGATGAAATAAGAAACTGAGTGTAAAGCAGAAAAGATGAAGATTTTGAGCATAAGTTACTCACTTTTTTCAAATTCACAAATACATAGATACAGCATGTAAATAGATTTAACCAATCTGAAGATTCTCTGACTCCACCTATTAAAGTGATATTCATGTAAATTTTATTTAAATGACCATGCTTGACAAGATTTATAGCTCAACACATTGAGTAGTCAATAAAAAAAACACGATGGTGGTATTGAACAATTTATTGAGTACTTAACAATGCCTTTTACGTTGTAGGATTCTCCGTTGCTAATTTCGAACAATAGAAGAAGGATAATAGACCGTAAAAAATTTTATTTTATTTTTGCAAAGGCAAGTGGCGCTTTATCGAAAGAAAATTACAGGGCGATCTAAAGTGCCCGACCCATTTTAAACGCTTTGATATTTCATGGTCTTTGACTTTTACATCACAAATGCCTTTCCTGATGATCGTAAAGAAAATTGTAAAATATTGCTCTATTAAATGAGCCAAAAATTCTGTTATTTCGTGGAACTGGAAACGAAACATTTATGATGATGGATCAACAAGGTATTGACAGGAAGACTTTATCTCCTGACCACATAATTACCTAGAAAATAAATGGATCTGCAAAATAGACAAAATTTCACATCCTTGTCAAATATTTTGATGAATGCTTTTATTCCTTTATCTTTTAAAATTATCAACAATTTGCAATCTATTTAAGATAAATATCAACATATACATTGAGTAAATTGCTATTTATGTTTTGGTGCCTTACTCGAACGTGGCTTACTTCTGAATACAGATGGATCTAATGTATTGTACGGAGTTTCTTCGTTTCCATTATGAAAATTTTTAACATTTCTCCTCGGTTCATTATTTTCCAGTAAATGTGGTGCGAGTAATAAAAATAATTGCTAATTTGGAATTGAAAATAGAGAGAAATTCCGTTTTAATGATCGCAAGTTAAACTAATGTTGTTTTGGTATGTATTTGGATTTTTTTTGAGAGCGACGATTAACTGTAAACATTAGCAGCAAATTTAATTAAATTAAAATTGCAAGGGTTTTAGGAACTAACATAGCTTTATCCATGATTGACTGTAAATCCATGATTTCAATCTTCTAAAAAGATTTTCTAGTTATAATGCTAATCTAGAGCTATATTGTTGGTCTTTCGATTGCTCTTGGATTTGCTAAGAAGTATCTTTCACCAATAAACAGCAATAAACTAGTAAGAAACTCTTAACATACTTAGTTCATTCAGAACTGCAGAACTACATCCCAATACTTGCTCCAAACTGATCAAACTATCCCAACAGATGATGCCCAAAAACAAGCTTATAAATTCAATTTAATGAATAATAATCCAAATACTAATGAAGAAGCTTAGTAAGTGCATTAAAATCATCTTACCTGTGTCCAAGGTGGAAGCGTGCACGATGAGAAACATAATTCCCAATAAGGTAGACCGAGATGTGCAACCGACATACGTAAATACTCTGAAAATGTATCGGCTAAGAACTGAAGTTTAAGCGATTCCAATTCTAATAAATAAATCCTCATAACGTTCGTTTCTGGAACTTCATAAATCATAACGACTTTTGCTACATCCAGAATTGTGCTGAGTTCAAAAATTTTACTTTTGGGAGCTAAATGAAGTGATGGAATTGCGTCATTAGTAGAAGATGATGAAGATGATTTTGATGTATTGTGATTTGCAGCCATAATCGATTCCAAATTTTCTCTAATTAAAGTGATTTGGATGAGATGTGGAATATGGATCTTCCCAACACGTTTGTTATCTGTTGCTGAATATTCATAAGACCAAAAGAGACAAAAGCCATCAGTGCAGAGGAAAAAGGCTTTCATGTCTGAAGGTAGACTAACATTATGTCGAGTCTCCCATGCATTTACACTATTCCGTTCGGCTGGATATCTTTTATCGTAATTAATATTGTTGATCCGTTGGATTTGATCTATTTTATAAAAAGAATTGTAATAAATTATCCTCAAAGGATCCAAGCTATACTCACTTAACACTTTTATAAGACCCAACGTAAGATTCTCGTAAAATGCATCATCTGATGCTGCAGGAACAACTGCTGACATTTTTGCATTAAAATGAAAAATTTAATAAACGAGAATAAAAGGCTTAAACGGTGAAATCGATCTAACAAACACAATGTGGTCATGGCGAACAAAGGACACAAACTGCGCATGACGCGATAATTTTCATGATCTTGTGCGGTACAATACAACAAAAGGTATGATTCCTCAAAAGTAGAAAAGAAGCATAAAATTAGGAAGAATGAGATCAAAATTATAATCCTTTATTGTTTATCAATGCATGCAATCTTTTACAAAAGAGGATATAAAGCTAGTGTTATCAGCATGAACTCAATTCCCATTTCATGGACATTACAGTTTGTATAGTAACAAGTTTTTATTGTTTTTTAAAAACCGAGAAAAAAAAACCAAAAGTTTCATGAAGTTTTTTGATTAAAAATCACTTCCGTTGAATATGAAATTTTTTTAATACTCATCTCACTTTATTATAATGTGCGAGAGTCAAAACAGCACTTGAACTTAAATTGAATATTAATTGAGAATTTATGAATAGGTGGAGTCAAAATTAACTTTGTTTCTTCATCTTTCCGCTTTCTTCTTTTCCTTTTATTACCTCTTCTCTCACAACTTTTTAAGTTCTCTTTATTTCTCCTTTATGCTGACTATTTTGATATCGCTCGCAGGTAAAAACCTAATCGATGATTACTTTTTCTTATGTTGAGGAATTATTTTTCTGGTCGATCAGTTTGAATTGATTCGAGGTAAAGATCAGACGTGAAAAGTAAAAGAAATAAGGAACAAGAAAAAATAAAATGACTTCAGTGTTTATGACGTCGTCAATAAATTCAGTGAATTACAACAATTTCCATGGATATTCGAACTATGGACTCAATTATTTTAATGATTCGGCAAGTGAGTTTTCGGACGAGTATCAAAATTCTACATCTCCAGTTTCATCACCTCAATATAATGTACAATGTCATATGAATATTCAATATAATCAATATTATGAGCAGACTCATCAGAACAGCTCGACATTTCATCAGCAGCCAAGTCCGATTAAAACAATTGAGGAATGTCAAAAATTCAGTAACTGCAGACAAGAATCAATCAAGGATCATCAAAATATTATTATCAGCAGATGTGAAAGTATTGAGAAAAGTTCAGGCGAAGAGAAGTCTACAGTTGTCGTACCTGAAGTTCTTAAAAGAAGGCGCGTGGCTGCAAATGCAAGAGAACGAAAGAGGATGAACAACTTGAATTATGCATTCGATAGGTAAGGCAATCAATAAATCCAATTTTATTGGACATAAAACTAAATGAACAAGTTTTCATCCAAAACAGATTAAGAGACGTAGTTCCAAATTTAGGAAATGACAGGAAATTGTCGAAATACGAAACACTTCAAATGGCTCAAACATATATCGCAGCACTAAATGAGTTACTAAAGAGGGACTGAAGGTAGCTATTAAGTGATTTCCATCATAAATGTGTAAAAATCTGTTCAGTGAGTGACTACTTAAGTACTACTATTGTTGGACATTATACTTGCTGAAGCTGCTTGAGGCGACATGATGATTTAGAATACGACAAATCTGTTTGCGGCAGTTCCTTTAACTTTTCTTAGTGCCGCATGTCAAAATAATAATATTTTAAGGAACAAAGTAGTTGATTAGTTTTATGTAAGACTGAAATTATTAGTATCAATTTAGTCCATAAGTGTTGTGCAATTGGAAGTATTGTAAAAATATGAAATAAGAATAAAGAAGAAAAAAACATGCTCAAGGAATTCAATCATTCTCGGTGAAAGAACAAAGGGAAATAGTGATCGGCAATCACTTCACAGTGCATTTCAGATTGTTGTAGTTTTGTAATTAATGCTGTAAATCGATTAAATCAATTAATGAAATTGTCTCACATTCGATCGAATTGAAATCGAACACTAAAAACCCGTTGTAAGCTGCATTCAATCATGTTTATCAAATGGCAAATTTGTCGCTTTCTTTTGTTGTCAATTCCCGCGCTTCCAATGAAACCAATTTTTCCATTAAGAACCAATTTGCTATCCATTCAATGAAAAAGTTTATAAGGAATGAAATCAATGAATGAAAGTATAACTGCAATTGCTGACTGCCTGCATCACAAAGCGAAGCTCAATTTAATTAAATGAATCTTCAGCTTCCATAATTTCATCAAATTATTATTATTATTATTCTGAATAAGTTAGAAATCATGCAAGCACGTGCCTTGAGCAACAAAATTTGCATTAATGCTATTTTTTTAAAACAAAAATCATGCTACTGATCGTATATCGACCATCCGCCTGTCAAATCAAGCTCAAAATAATTTTAGACCCAAGAAAATTAAAAATTGAGGCTTTTATTCAATATCCGAATTATTAGGAGCACGTGATGACGAAGATTTTAAGATTTTCTCAAAAAAAGAAGTTGGCTTACTTTTACCTTTGGTAAACGACTTCAATAAGGATGTCCCATAATATTCATCATCATCAGTGTCAGCCTCATCGCTTGAACTCTGCTGAATGTTGTCATTGTTGTTGTTGTGCAAGCCATCACCAATATTTGGCTCAACGAAAGATTCACACTTGCTGATAGCTTTTGGTTTTAATTTAACTGATGTGACTGATTTTGAGAAAACGACTTTGTTGATTGGACTTTCAATAACGAGACTTCTGACCTTCTTTATAGGGTTTCTTCTCTTGCGTCTAAGTCTTACTGCAACATTTGATGCTGTTTTACGAATGGCAAGTCTGTCTAAGTCTTCATTAGCAACCAAAGTGAATCCTTCAGGAACATTTTTCTTTAACTGCTCATTCATTTCCATCAGTTGCTTATTGCTCTCCATGTTTTGTGTATGAAGATTCTCAATTAATTCCTTTAATTGTTTCTGTTGGCATTCCTCTAACTCAAGCTGATCTTCCAAAAATTTGATTTTTTCATACAGTTGATTCTTCGTGACTTTGATTTGTATTGGTTTTGTGTCATTTGAATCACCACTATCTACATCACATGATCCAAGACGTTCTAAAATTTGTCGATGCATATGTTCAGGAAGATCTAAATTATTTGCTACGTTAAAGTTCAAAATTGTCTTATTGTATGTCAGACAGTTGATAATTTCGTTTGCAGCAACATTTGTAAGTCCACAATTTTGTACTTCAATATCTTTAATCCATACATCTTCGCTAAGTTCATCAGTCAAAAATTTTAATCCTTCATCACCAATTTGTGGATTACTGTTAAGAAAAATTCGTTTCAAACCACCAAATGATGTGTCATCGATACTTTGATATCTCAAGCTACGGATCCATGCTTCCGAAAATCGATGGATTTTTTGGGTCTTGATATAGTCCACTACAGCATTTACACCTTTAACACCAATATTACAATTGGATAAATTCAATGTCTCAATATTAGTCAAGTGCTTGATATTCGAACATAAAATTTCACATCCATCATCACCGATTTTACTTCTAGAAAGATTCAGCACTCTTATTGATCGATTTGTAAAGCATCCTTTAGCTAATGTCATCATGAATCGTTCACGTATTGGAAATCCTTCGAGTGAAAGCATTTCGAGGATGTTATTGCTGACAAGTATGCTTTGAAGAGATTCGACGAACTCGTTGAAGATGAATTTTGAATAGATTACGGGAATCGAGACTACATTTCTTGACTTTTTCAACGTGTCGACATGATCGAGAACTGTAGGATGTTAATTATTGTTATTTGAGGACAAAAAGGAATTATTTTATTTCTTACTACATTCATCATTCTTCCGTAGCTTGATAGTCACAAATTTTAATGTTCTGTCGTTTTTCAAAGCATCACAAATTGCCATCCAGTCATTAGCTTTAATCCGATCAGCATGAAAATCCAAAACATGAATATTTTTTTGCTTAATTTTGACTTCAGGCAGTGGTTGAAGAATTTTTGATTTGCAAACTGACAAATATTTATCATGAAATCCTTTCTTCCTTTGTGCATAACTGAGAATTTCGACGCTGCTTTTTGATTCCATCAGCATTTTTCTTGACTTTTGTTGTTTGTTGAAATAATTTTTTTTTGCTGCAACTTGAAAATTGGTTGTTTGACAATTTTATGAAGAATGAGACTTGAGAGAAACTTCAAAGATTGCTTATTAAATTTTCAAATGTATTTTAAACGTGATTTAAATATTTTTCGATACCTCGCATGCCTTAATTTTATTCTTTCCAAGAGTCTAGCAGCATTTAGAATGTCTAGGTCCACTATGGGACAAAATTGAAAAAAAAAGGTTAATTCACTTCGAAAATGGGACTGTTTCAAATTAGGTTCTCGGGGTATTTTTTTCTTGTAAAGGACATTAAATTGAACTTGCATACCAAATTTCAGACTATTTCATGCTGTTTTTGAGATTCTAGAGCTATATAAAGTTGAAAAAGAGCAAAAAAACTGAAACATGACATATTCAAACTTGAAAATCTCTGCAATGTTTAAAGTTATTGAAGAAAAGTTTTCGGTTTGAATAAGAACTATATAAGATCTTTATTTTAATGTATTACAAAAATTTTAACTTTGCAGTTTTGGTGCTGGTATGGTTGAAAATGTATGAAAATCCATTCGATTCGAAAAGGTCGATTTCCAGGGAACTGAATATACAGAAATATAGCTTTTGATATACTGTTTTAAAACTGTATAAACATTAGAAATCAAAAGGTAGGGTTTTGAGTAAAATTGATTTGTGTAAGTCGTAGAATATTTAGTGTGTCCTGGAAGTACGGGGGCAGGATATGTCCAATCGACTTGAAACTTTGCCTGAATATTGATATATTGATAGATCTTATATATTCTACGACTTACACAAATCAATTTTACTCAAAACCATACCTTTTGATTTCTAATGTTTATACAGTTTTGAAAACAGTATATCAAGAGCTATATTTCTGTATATTCACTTACCTGGAAATCGACCTGCTAAAATAGTTGCGGCACGTTTGAAGATATTTTTCATAGGATTTTCATACATTTTCAACCATGCCAGTGCATGCCAGCACCAAAACTGCAAAGTTAAAATTTTTGTAATACATTAAAATAAAGATCTTATATAGTTCTTATTCAAACCGAAAACTTTTCTTCAATAACTTTAAACATTGCAGAGATTTTTAAGTTTGAATATGTCATGAAAAAACCAGTTTATTTGATCTTTTTCAACTTCAAATAGCTCTAGAATCTCAAAAACAGCAAGAAATGGTCTGAAATTTGGCATGTAAGTCTAATTTAATGTCCTTTTGAAGAAAAAAATACCCCGAGAACCTAATTTGAAACAGTCCCATTTTCGAAGTGAATTAACCTTTTTTTTTTTTTCAATTTTGCCCCATAGTAAGATCTTGATTCATTATAAACTTAACAGAGATTATCGATTTACAGCCAATAATGTCCAGTGAGAGAATTTATGGAATTTTGCAAGAATGACTAAGGCACTAAGCACAGCAATTGATTGTCTTTCAGTTATTTCTTTTCACAAATTTCTTTTCGCGAAGAATCTTTTGATGGCAGGCACAACAAGCAAGTAACATACAGCACAGCACAGCACAGCACAGAGTGCGCAACAACATCAAAGGTAAATAATTGTAATTGTTATTTAAACAGGCTTAAATTCCGAAAAGAAATGAAATGAAAATGATGATGCGATTCCGATTGAGAAAGAAAGAAAGACAGCCTTTGCGCTTCTTCCATACATCAATGAATATTATTTTGACTGTGTGTGAATGTGATTGTCGATTAATTGTAATATAATTAACTTAAACGGTGTGAAATGATCAGTAATACCGATGAAGAAGCTAATAAAGCTCATTGTTGGCGTGTCATCAATCATAAAGAAATATATTTTTTGGAGATGATTATGCTTTTGAGAACACAGAGTAAGAGACTGATTATGATCTATCTCACTGAACAGTCATTCAAATCCTTTCATTTCATTGCTATTCTTTCTATATCGCTGCCATAAAGATTTGTGTTCTGTAAATTAAGAACCGCAAACATAAATTATCATAAAATGCTTCACACCATACCATTGACCTATAATGGTAAATAACTGACTCATATTCAACCACAAAGTCCATTCATAACACAAAACTCTCTGATTGTGGATTTTTGCAATCGCTTAACAAGCTACCTGTTTCATACGCTCTATCAATCTCTAGTGGAACAAAAGAACTTGAAGAAATGAACCTGCAACAAAATATTTTGTTTCATTGAAACATTAAAGAACGAAAAGGAAAGGAAAAAAAATATTAGAAATGATCGAAGCGATCAGTATTGGAAGTTCACACGATCAAACAACAAAAGAAGTTGGATGTAATTTAGAAATTTTGCGGTATAATAAATACAACGGAGTTGAGATTCTAAATTGTTTTTATAACCAAACAATAAGCAATCCTTATGAGAGATCGCTTGCTGGTAAAGATAACAATGCGGTATCGTTTAATATTGTGTACTACAATTGCCTTCAACATATAAACACATAGTCTCCTCAGGAAATGAACTGCACGAATGCCTTTTGTGATAGCAAATTATGATTTTTTTTTTTTTGATATTTATTGAAAAACTTTTGATCCATCATTTTTTAATTGAATGGTATAAAGGAGAAAACTCATCTCTTGAGCTTATTGCTGGATTTATTTTGAAACAATTTAGAAATTTTTTTATTTCATGTCGGCGCTTCAAATGAAATTTTAATTTCTAAGAAATCGAATATCCAGCTGCGAAAATTAAAGATAAAAAAATTAATTGAAGATAAGACGATCTGTGGATTAATAGTACGTAATTTATTCAAGGTCATTCCTCAGATTTTAATCGATATTCAATGAATTTCAAAAAATTGTTCGATTATGAATAAAAAAATTAAATTATGATTTGTTTCAAGAAGCCGCGATTTGGAGAGATATTGCAGCATGTTCTATTAAATAATTTAGCACGTGAATTTTTTCATTTAAATTTTTGCTATTTCACTGCCACATGGTCATTAAAATGATTTTAGCTGATTTGTTGCGAATTTTAACGGATTTTTGAGATTTGAATTTTGTTAAGTTAATTTTTGTCTGGTAGATCAAATTTTAAATATATTTAACGGTCAAAATAGAAATGATAATTCGCTGGTAGAGCATAATTCTTATACATTTAAATTTTAACGGTTCCATTGTCTGATCATATTTCATAATTTCGCTTCTAGCATAAATATTTAACATCTCAATTTCACACCACAATAAGTGGCATGTACACACACTTGATTTACAGATATTATCATCAATCATGTGTACAAATAGTCACTTAATTGTCATTTATCTTTAAAGTTAAATTTCTAAATCCATGCTAAATTCAAAAAAAAAAATGTTTCATCTATCAAAAATTATTACTAACCATCAGCACATTAAATATAACAAGAGTGAGACTAAAAGAAAATAAGATAATATGCGGCTGCCTCGGCAGCTCGTAAGTATCGTCAATTGTATTCTGCCTTATTTTTTAAACAGAGAAATCTTCAACGAGATAATTTGTCTCGTACGTAACTACCAAAAATGTCTGTATATAAAGCTATAAAGTGTTGCTGACTAAGGCTAAGCAAGGAAAGAAAAGACGAGAAAAATTGAAAACATCAATCTCTTTTGCGAAAGATGATTTTGAAGCTGTCTAGCTTCTGTAATAAGTTTGTTCAAAAAGTACCTATAAGTTGTGCTATCAAAAGGAAACAATTTGCATGAATTCCATAAAGTAGATTATAGCCAACAATATGAAAATGGCTCAATTTTGGTTATTATTAACAAACACGAAGGTGTGATTAGCATAAATCAAGCCAAAAATTCTAAGAAAAAATGAAATCGAAATTAATCAAAAATTCACTCAATAATGTTGGATTTATGATTTTAATTTATTCGACGTAGAGTTGAAATTTTTACATAACATTGTGTCTTCGTATTTAAGTAAGACGTTATGAATGGCTAATTAAGTGCAGTTTATGAATTAATAAAGAATGAAAAGTTCCGGGTTGGATGTGATTGTTGCACGTAGTGTTTTTAATGGCAATTTTAAAACGTATCGCAATTGGATTTTATGGATGTATAGTTTGTCCTGTGACAGGGAAAATTTAACTTTATGTTAATGTGCCTCAAAATTTAGCAAAACTAGTGTATCGGGTAGAAACCCAATGCGGATATATTCACACCGTACCATCAAAAGTCTTATGGATAGACCAAGATTTGCTCAGCATAAGTTTGAAGGGTGGGCGTGAAGTACGGCTGGGACCCATATCGACACAGTTCAAAAGTTAAACCTAATTTGTGAATTATGCAATAGGGTCGACCCTAGTCAAAATCAATTTTGTCACTTTTTTCTTCGAAGGTTTATCCGAATACAGTAAAACTTTGTATGAGCATTCTAATCCTCAGGTCACACATTTCTGAATTAATAAAAATCATTTTTTTGGAAAAATTTTAAGTCACGTTGTTTTTATATGTAGAACCAAATTTATAATATTTGGGTCTGACGACATATAGAATACATTTCTTGCTTTAGATATTTAAAACTGTTTTGTATAAATATTAGTATACTCACACAAATATTCACTGTAATTGGATAAACCTTCGAAGAAAAAAGTGAAAAACTAGATTTTGACTAGGGTCGCCCCTAGTCCAAAATTGAAAATGTATTTCCTACTTGGTTCTTTGCTCAAAAAAATTTTAGGATGTTTTATTTGTATTGGTTTTAAGCACAAGAATATTTTTGCAAAGTTTCAATCCATTTGGATAAACCCTCGAAGAAAAAAGTGAAAAACTAGATTTTGACTAGGGTCGCCCCTAGTCCAAAATTGAAAATGTATTTCCTTCTTGGTTCTTTGCTCAAAAAAATTTTAGGATGTTTTATTTGAATTTGTTTTAAGCACTAGAATATTTATGCAAAATTTCAATCCATTTGTATAATCCCTCGAAGAAAAAAGTGACAAAATTGATTTTGACTAGGGTCGCCCCTAGTCCAAAATTGAAAATGTATTTCCTTCTTGGTTCTTTGCTCAAAATAGTTTTAGGATGTTTTATTTGTATTTGTT